CTGTGCCATTGAGAAAGTTTGTACCACTTACATCCTATCATATTTGGAGTTTTGAGACCTTCCTTGGAAAGGTGATGTTGTACTGGGTGGCATTGTGCTGATGTACTCATGATACTTAACACCAAAGTCCTAAGCAGCAGCACTGGGGAAGGTTGGCCTGTCCCCAGAGTTGCAGCCAGCACCATGTCTTTCACCATCTATCTCTTTGCACCCTGTTCTTAGCTCCACAGGTGATTCGTAAGATCAGGGCTGAACAATTTTCTGATGCATCAGGAAACCTGAAACTTTGGTGCCAGTTCTTCAACATTTTGAGCGATTCTAAACTGATGTGGTACAAGGATGAGATCCCTGTAGCAGAAGCACAAAGGAGGTAATCTTTCAGCTCCGCTTTGTTGGAGTTCTTGTGCATAGATCTGAGTTTGGGCTCTGGCTCTTGTGTTTACTGAGGAGAAGATGCCTCTTCTCTTACGGCTGTGTGAGAAGCTCATTGCACAGCATGATCTGCTGTGAACCATATTTTCTTAGTGCCCGGAGTTGGGAGGATTGCCCACATAGGCACCTGCTGCCCTACTGATACTTTGTATGGAGTCTGGCTCAAGGGCTGATGCTTTGACTAGCAGAGACCTGGGGAGGGCAGGAGTTGATCTGAACCTTGGGCAGGGCAGGGAAGGTGCTGTGCCCATCTCAGAGCTTGAGAGCTGGGGGCAAACCACAGAACTGGGACTCTAGTTGCTTCCTTGCAACCCAAATGGTTGAAAAAAAAAAAAAAAAAAAAAAAAATTCAGCTCTGACTGCGCCCTGTCTGCCACCTTGACTAGAGGAACTGCCAGCCCAGAGCTGCAGGCTGGAGAAGTCTGGCATTCCGCTGATGCAGAGCTTGTGCTTTACTTGTTCCTTGGAGAGAGTTGTGTCTGTCCTCACTCCTGAATGCCTGAAAGCGTGGCAGGAAGCAGGACAATCTGTGACTCTTTGGCTTCCAGCCATCCCACCCAAACAAGGGTTTATTAGCGCAGCTACAACCCTGACCCAACTGCCCTTAGAGACAACTACCTTTATTAGCATGTAGCCCAACCCCAGTATGAGTTTGCAGGGCTGAAGATCTTGCACCTCTAAGAATGTGAACAGTAGAGCTGCTGCAAGGTGCAAGGAGAGCAGCTGGAGTGCTCCTGCCTTCCTGCATGCCCATGGGCTGGTTTTGTTTTCATGCCCACATCCAAAATCTCCGGGGCCCCAGGTGCCTCTGTGCAGCGCACAGGGCTGACCCCATACTCTGATTTCTTCCAGTGCTGGCGATGAGGGCCAGGCAGCCTTGGCCATTGTGCAGGCATCCCAGAAGGACTGTGGAGTCTACCGGTGTGTGATCAGCAATGAGTATGGCACGGACTCCACTGATTTCCTGCTCAGCCCAGAAGGTGAGGTGCCCTCAGCTGCCTGGTGGCTCTTACACCTGTGTGACTGTGCGATCGGCTCTGAGGCAGGGTGAGATCCTGGCAGAACTCTGACTCTTCTCCTGCTTTGTCTCCTCCAGTGTTGTCAGGATTTATCTTGCGGGAAGAGATCGAAGGTAAGGATGACGTGCTGATGAGTTGCTGCCCTGGCCACCCGGCCTTGCTGTGGGATGGGCAGGATGTGCCTGTGTTGTCCCTCCTCACCAGCTCTTCCCTCCACCAGTTGGAGAGGAGATCGAGATGACACCCATGGTGTTCGCAAAGGGCTTGGCTGATGCGGGCTACTGGGGAGATAAATTCTTCGGGCGTGTGATGAGCGTGGACATGGAATTGGGTGCTGGCTTCCCACGCAAAGCCTGCCGTGCCAGAGCCATCTATGGCCTGGAGCCTGTCTTTGAGTCTGGCTGCACCTGCGTCATCAAAGTGCACAATTTCATTGTCTTTGGGACCAAGAACGAGAACAGCCTCATCGAGAAGAACTATGATATCACCATCCAGGTGGGCACTGTGAGCTATAGCCCTTTTGGGTCTCCCCTGGGTTTTCCATCTGTCTGTATCATAGTACCCAGCTTTCTTAATTTCTTTCCGCTTCTTGAATGCTCTGATTGAGTAAAGCCATGTCCCTGGCAATATCCGTGTTCTTCAGCCCTTCTCTCTGTGCAATGCAGAGCTACTCAGATCTTTCACTTGTCCTTTGACTGCTGAGACAGGGGAACAACTGGCAGTGGTCCCAAGGGTTGCTTTCTCTAGTGGAGGGGTCTCACAGCTTTGATGTGGGCTTGTTGACAGAAGGCAGGACAGGTTCCTGACTCTCCTGCTTGAATCTCCAGGAATGTAAAATCCAAAACTCCAGTCGCGAGTACTGCAAGATCTTTGCTGCTGAGGCCCGTGCTGTCCCTGGTTTTGGAGCAGTGCCCGAGTAAGTACGGTGCTGCAACTCTGCTAGTTTGACAGTGGAGCAAAGCTTCTGGGGAGATGGTGGGAGGGTCCCCTGTGGGGCACTGGGGACATCCCGAACGGCAGCTCCCTCTTCTCCCACTCTCATGTGGAAGGGATATGGGGAGGAAGGCAAAAAATAGATGCAGATCTCTGCTGAGGTGGAAAGTTCTGCAACTGGTGCTGACCCCCGCTGTGTGCTGCCACACAGGATAGTTCCTCTGTACCTGATTTACCGACCGGCCAACAACATCCCTTACGCCACGATGGAGGAGGACCTGGGTGGGCCCTGTGAGCAGTACTGTGTCACTGAGAGAGATGGCAGCTTGGTGGCTCGAGGCACCTCGGAGATTGTGCTCAAATGCTGCACCTTCCAGCATTGGGTCTACCAGTGGACGAATGGAAACATCCTTGTGACTGACATGGAAGGTAAAGGGATGTTCCAGTGATTCTATGATTCCCACCTGATACCCGTGGCTCTTCACCTCACTCTTGCAAAAGGAGGAGCAATAGCTCCAGCCTTGCCCTCCTGCCTGTTTCCCCATGTGCCTTGGAGCCCTGCTCAGAGAGTGGTTGTGGTGCCCATCCTTGCCTGGGCAGGAACTGGTTGTTGTCCCTTTCTTTGCAGGAGTGGGCTGGAAGATGACCAATGTGCGGATAGCAACCAACCTCAAAGGGTGAGTAACTCTCTCACTGCTAGTGTGGGCTGTCCCCACGTTGACCCCAGCTCTGCCACTTGTGTGACGGGGCACGACTGAGTGCAGCTGGCCCCTGTCCTCGCCAGCTGGTGGGACATCTCCTGGCACGAAGGAGAGCTGAGAGTGGCTGTGTTGCAGGTACCAGGGGCTGAAGGAAAGCTGCTTCCCCTCCCTGTTGGAGCAGTTTGCTGCGACTCACCAGTGCAACCATTACTGTGACATCCTGGGCCTGAAGACTCTGGAACCGGTCAAGCCCAAAGGCTCCAAGAGCCCCTCCATGGGCAGGAAGTCTGCCCAATCCAGCCCCCAGCTTCAGAAGAAGGGGGCAGCAAGTCCCCAGGGCACCCGCAAGACTACCGTGAGCCCCAGGAGTGCCCGCAGAATGGCAGAAGCGGCGGAGGCCCAGGCAGCCTCCAAACCTGGGCCTGGCGAGGCTGGCGGGCCTACTTGCCCTCAGTAGCCATAGCTACATTGGCGGGGACCCTTGCTGTGCCAGAGCAGGCCAGAGGCGCTCCTGCCTTTGGCTCCTGCCCCAGCTCGTGACGTTTGTGTTGTGTGATGTGTGCTAGTGCGAGCCACCCGGCTGCCTCTGCAGCAGAGCCAGCACAGCCATGGGCGTGATGGTGCCTTCCTGTGGGGTCTTCCACAGGCTTCTCTGCAGAAGCTGTTGCCAGCTATGGAGACTGTGGGGCCGTGCACACCCCAGAACCGGGGCTTTTTTTCTTCTGCCACCTCTTTCCCTTTGTCTTGCTTGAGCATTTGAAGCACGGGCCATCAGACTGGCTCCCTGGGCTTTGACGTTGCCATGCCCCTTTCCTAGCAGTGTCCCGGTACTTCCCTGAGCTGACTGGGAGCATGGGCTCTCCTTCCTCACAGCTTTTTTTATGCTGCCCTGACACATGCTGCTACTCCTGTCCCTTTTCATGTCCTCTGTAAAGCCCAGCCAGTGCTTGGTCTCCAGGATGTGAACCAAAGTGGAGTCCCACTGGTCCCTTGCATGCTGATTGCAAACATTTCACTCTAGTGAGGATCAATGGAGAGCTGCAGCACTTCTGCTTGCCTGCTGCTATTGCTTGGGCTTCTGGAGTGTGGGTCAGCCCCGTAGCAGGGTATTGGTGGCTGCATGGGGTGGGGGCTCTCACACTTGTCCTCCCAGCCTCCCCTGCCCAGATGGATGCTGAGGGCTGCGGTGCTGCTATGGGTAAGGATGCTCTACCTCACACAGGGTGCACAGGAGTGGGGCACTGCTGTCACTCATGAGTGTCACCCCCCCACACTTCATACATACCCCAGTGGCAGCATCCCTGGTGCAGGATGGAGGCCGGTTCTGCAGTCAGCGATGGACAGGTAGTGGTGCTCACACTGCAAAGTAAAGCTCCCTGCATTGGGTCTGGCTTCTTCTGTCTCGCCGCAGAGCATGGGTGCCACCACTGCCCCTCTAAATATAGCAGCGGTGGTGGAATCTGAAAATGGCTCACTGCAGACTGGCAAAGGAAGGAAGGGAGCGTGGTGTGCTCTGGGGCCCTGGTGCTTTGTTGTTGGGCCGCTGTAAAATAATGGGGTACATATGTGTTCACCTTGGTGACTGGGGGTACTCGAGTGCAATAAAGCAAGAAGGACTGGCCTGTCCCCCTGTGGTTCCTGCGGAAGAGATGCATCCAAGCATGGCAGGATGGGACAGCTTGTGTTTGGGAAAGGAAATGGCTTCAAGTGACATCTCTACTCCATTCATACCTGCCATAAGGAGAAGAGGATGGTGAACCTTAAAGAGGCACCTGATGAAGGCTTGGCTTGAAAGGTCGCTAGCAAACAGCAGCTATGGGGAGCTGCGCAGCGGGGTGCAGCCCCAGCAAGACATCCCACACCCTTTGTAGAACAGCTGAAGTCAGGACCAGAGAGGAAGCAGAGCACAAGCATGGGGATTTCTGTAGTTTATTTGCGATCAGTTTCCCCTCTGTCCATGGGGCCAGCACCTAGGGATGCTGGTTACAAGGTGCATGGTGATTTCTGTCCAGCTGTTGGGGATTTTTCTGCCTTTGAGGCCAGCTTGCGCAGACCGCAGTGCTCCCTGGGGTTGGTATCTCTGGGTTCATGCCGTGCAGTGTGTGTGGTTGTAGTGCCTGCAGCACCCTGTCAGGCACGGCAGGCTGTCCGCCACGCTGTCCCAGGCTCCCGTAAAGGAGAGCGTCCCATTCTCAAGCACCGTGCTGGAAGGAGAGAGGCACAGTCAGGGCAAGAGCTGCCCTGCCAACCCCACAGCAAAAGTGACGGTTCAGATGCTTGTGCACCTCAGTCCTAGGCAGCATGGCGCAGCTCCAGACCCTACCTGTCTCCCTGCTACACACCCACCTCGCAAACAGCTGCTTGCAGCACGTGTATATGGTATAGTTGGTAGAGGTGAAGTTGGCGTTGATAAGGATGGTCACGCAGTTGCCCACCTCTGTTGGCACATAGAGGAGGCCTAGGAGACAAGGCCTCCTGGTTGGGGCTCTGAGGGACTGGGCACTTCAGTCCCATACCCTGGCAGTGCCATCCCTGTGCTGTGCTCGCAGGTCCCACATTCCACATCCCTCCCACCAGTTGCAACAGTGATGCCAGGGAGCCCCTCCCAAAGCTTTAACAGCCACCCTCAAAATGTCCCAGTTGCAGCCCAGATGAGGGTAAGAAGCCCCAGCAGAGCTATGGGATCTGGGGGCCCTGATGGAGAGCACAGCGTTTGAAGGCCCTATGAGAGCCATGGGGAGGGCAGCCAGCCTTCTCTATCCCTTCGGCTGCACTCACAGGTGTGTTCAGCTCTTTGCCCAGCCCTGTCTCCTCCCAGTGGCAGTGGGCAGGGACCTACCTGCCAGGCAGGAGTTGAGCATGGAGACACAGATGCCCGTGAGCAAGGCTCGCAGCACAATGGAAGCCAGCTCACTCTTGCGGTGAGGAACCATGGAGGCTGCAGGGGCAAAGCAGAAGCTGGGGCAAGACAGATCCTTGCTTTGGCTCTGCCTGGGAGTAGGGACAGATGGGACAAGTGCCAAGTCCCCAAGTGGCCCTGCCATCTACTGCTCTGCCATCAGAGCCATCTGGAACCTCTGTTCTATGCCCCATTGCTCAGTCGGTGAGTGAGTGGGATGTACAGGTGACCTTCACCATGGATGTGGTACAAAATCACCCACATCACCTTGTGCAAGCCCCATTTCTTACCTGCATGCTAATAAGAGACTGAACACAGAGGCCTGAAGGCAGCTCCCACTCCTTAGGTTCCTCTGCCCCATACCCAGATACTCAGGATGTGGGTCACACTCACTCAGGCCTCCCAGCATGATCCCAATGGAGCTTAGGTTGGCGAATCCACAGAGTGCGAAGGTGGTGATGCTTTCAGCACGCTCCTGGAGGGCACAGAGGCAGGGGATGATCACCTTGGTCCCACAGCAGCCCCACAACACCGTGTTGTAGTTCCCAGCCCAGCCAGCTGAGATGGAGACAACTCCCATCCCAATTCTTTCAGCTTTTATAGAAGCAAGGGACAGGTGAGGGGCAGCTTGCCAATGGGAAAAGATGGACTGGCAGCAGGCAGAGGCCCTAGAGCATCATAGTCTGGCCCTCTGGAGGGCAGGACCAGTGGGACATGGTTTCACTGTCGCCTTCAGAATGACCCCACACCTAGCAGTGATGTCCAAATCTAGATGGCCACAAGTGCCCCCCCCCCCATCCCCAGAATAATGGTGCCCCCCCTTGCTGCCTAGCACTCAGCCTGGCCAGGTTACGTGCCCCATTTCAGTTCCATCCCTGCCCTATACCCAGCAAGGTGGTGGTTGCCCTCACAGATATCCACTGCTTCCTGCTCCCGCTCCACTCCTCCAGGCCTGACAGCCGGTTCCTCTTGTACGTGGCTAGCTGCTGGTACGCTACAAACTCGTTCAGGAAGATCTTGATCCCCAGCAGCTCTGCTACCAGTGGTGAGTCTGCCCAATCTGCCCCCATGAGAAAGGCCACAGGCATGAGGACGTAGGAGCAGATCATCTAGGAAGAGCATCCCAGGAGGGAACAGTTGAACCTTTGTAGAGCCCCTGGCATGGGCACCTGCTGCTGGGGATCTAATCAGGCAGTGGGTAGAGGTGGAGATGGGTGGGGAACTTGGGAGTACCTGGAAGGAGAGGTCTTTGATTTCCACCATCTCCCCAAACCAGCGCAAGGCAGCATTGATGAACTCCAGCACGGCCAAGAAAGCAATGAGGTTGGCTGCAATGTTGGCCACGAGTCCTATGGAGGCGGCAGCCCCATTGCTGGCAGCTTCCAGGATGTTCCGCTCTTCCCTGGGAGGAAAGAAACCCTGACAGGATCATGTTGCCAGTCTCTGCAGACCTCACTACGGGGTCTCCAAAATTTGTGCCACCTGCAGTGCCCAAACTGCACCCACAGCTGCCCCGTGCCACCCCTCTGCTCCCACTCACCCACTGCTGATACGAACGCTTTCTTTGCCCTTGAACTTGGACTCTTCCACTTCAGGGTAGACCAGTTTGGACATGGCAAGGGCACAGGGTGCAGCCATCACAGATGCTGCAATCAGCAATGCCGCATCTATCTGCAACAGGCAGACTGTGGGCTCAGACCCTGTATGAGGCTGCCCAAGCACATTGCCAGCAATGCTTGGAGCAACCCAGGGCACTCTGCTCACTCGGAGTGGGAAGGTGTGCCTGTTTTTCCCATCTTAGCCACTGAGGATGCGGGGGGTAGCTCATCTGGATGAAAACAGTGCTAGAGCCACAGCAGTCGTAACTTCAGAGATGTTAATTTCTCTCTTGTTTGACTTCACCTTGATGATCCTTGCCCCCTCTTTATCCCTTTTATCAGTATCAGAGCAAGAACACTGCTGACTTGTACCTAGTGACGAGCAGTGTATCACAGCCACAGCCTTGTTACCCTGCCCCTGCCCTCTGCACTGCAGTTTCTCATTTCTCTGTCCTTTCACCCTTGGCTCCCTGTTTAAGGAGACTAATTAATGTTTAAATAGCGGGAGCTCAGCCAGCAGGTTGAGGCCACATCCGGATATCACAGTTCTGAGACAGTGAGGAACTGGTGAGAGCACCAGTGGGGGCTCAGGCAAGGGGGTGGACCAGAGACCCCACCGCCAAGGGCCCTTCCAGGCTACATTATTCCATGGTGCAGTGAGATCTGCCCTGATTGCTGCGGAAGGACTCTGGGGTTTTGGCCAGGCCAGCATGAGGGCATCTCATTTATGGAAGGAGACCCACAGTGGGCTTTCTTACCCCACATGCCCAAGGCAGTTCTGGCACGCCAGACCCTTGAGCAGGGAAAATGAGCCATATAGCTGCTTGTGTTCTCACCCCAAAGGATATGTAGGCTCCCATCACACTGCCTGCAATGGTGGAGAAGCCACCAGCCATCACGGCGTGGATCTCAGAATGGGTCATGTCTGCAAGGTATGGGCGGATGAGCAGCGGGGCTTCAGTCTGTGAGAAACAAAAACCTCTGCTGACACCACACAGGGCTGAGGGTCTCCTAGGAAGGGAAGAGAATACCCTTTTTCTGCCATCAGGAGCTGTTGAGGAGTTGGATCGCCTGCCACAAGCCTTACCTGTCCCACAAAGATGTTCCCTGCCACGCTCAACGTCTCAGTAGGGGTGGTGCCCAACGAGATCTGGAGGAGCCAGGAGATCTGGGGGAACACAAAGCCGCTGTGTTCGCAAAGACAGCCACCCCATGAGGCTGGCCACTCCAGCCTGCCCTTGCCAAGCTGCACAGAGGTGATGTCCAGGAGTGCCCACAGACCAGGGAGTATCATCAGCCCCAGGTTTGGGTAAGAAAGAGGAGGTTGTGTCTATCACTTCAGCCCAAATTAGTACAACCCCAGTTTTCCTGGGACATCCTTCAGCTTTTCATAGGAGCTGCAGTAACTGGCAGGTCCTTCTTCTTTCCACAACCATCAAAAAGCTGGGCCCTACCTTGAGGATGAGCCACTGCATGACACCGAGGTAATAGAGGATGGACATCACGCAGCTGAAGAAAATGATGATGGGCAGACTCTGTAGACAAGGCACCAGGGTGTGAGATTAAAGGGCTGTTGAGCAGTGTATCTAAAGTACACTTGGGCGTGGTGTGATGTTGCACAGCCACCCCACACTATTGGGGTGCCACAACACTGCAGAGGAACAGGGTTAGTGTGAATACCCCATGGCATGCAAGAGACCCATGGGTGCACACAAAGCATCCTTGAGCTGGTCGAACGCTGGCTAAGGCCAGAAGAAAAACCAGACTCTATCTCTCCTTCCCAATACCTTATTCCACAAACTGACCTGAAATGCAAAGACGTCTTCAATGAGTGTATTCCCAAAAACGAAGCTAGAGCCAGCTTTGGTATAGCCCAGGAAGACCTGCAAATGGTGATGTTGCATGGTAGGAGGGAGATCTCCATGATCAAAATGTCCCAGTTGCAGCCCAGATGAGGGTAAGAAGCCCCAGCAGAATGATGGGATCTGGGGGCTCTTGTCCCAGTATCTCTTTTACCTAGCAGTGGACTGCCCCTTCACCTCACAGCTCCCTTGCCCCAGCAGATAAACCTAAGCTGAGAATACTTAGTGTGGTGTCTCTGAGTAAATGGGGCTCTGCTGCAGCTCCTGCAAGGGATACCACACCAAGGGGCCGGGGCTGTGCTAGAAAACCAGACAAGAGGTGGCTTTTCTCTTGGTCAATACAAGGGGACGGCAGCTCCTCCAGCCTGTACCACTCTCAGCTCCTCTTACTGGTCCCAGGACCTACATGGAGGACTGAAGCATGGGATGGGGTGAGCAGGAACAGTACCTGGATCTGGTCACCCAGCCACTGGAAAGCCTGAATGCCAGGGGTTGTTCGAAGGATGAAGAGTCCAATTAAAAACTCCAAGCCAAGACCCCAGAAAACAGCTCTCCAGGACACCTGGGGACCAACAGCAGAACGGTGACTGAGGTGTTAGCAGAGCCTTCAGACTTACCTCTCTGGATTCCTGCCCATTCAGTGGCTTTTGGGTGATGGTCATGCTAACAAAGTGTCACAGAAACCCACAAACATGGGTTGGCAATTGGAGAGGAAGACAAGTTGGTGGGAGTCAGGAAACAGCTGGCAAAATGGAGGAGAAGGGCACAAAGATCTTCTGGTTGTTTGACTGGTAGTACAGATCCCTACTGCATGCTCACCAACCCTTTGGAGGAAAGGGCTGGACTGGTTGTCCAAAACATTAGAAAAGGTTGGACTGAAAGCCATTGGGACTTCAGTCACTTCTGCCCAACCCACCAGATGTTCCTCTGCCCACAGGCACCTGAAGCACAGACATGGGTACGGGTGTGAGAGCTGTGGTAGAAAATAGGACAGTGGTAACATGGGGAACCCCAGGTTGAGCAGTGGGAAGGAGAATAGCGGGGTGGCGTTGGGGCTGCAGCACCCAGCTTTGCTCCCCAAGCTGTGTCCAGATCTGCCCTGGGAGCTTCTACTTCCTGCAGAGAGAGAGCCCATGGATTTCTCCTCTGTGCCACCTCCTGTGAGGGAAGCAATGGCCAAGCCACACCTGAAAAACGTACTGCGCTGTGGTGCTTGGAGAAGGCAAACAGGAAGAGCACCAAAACGCAGAAGCCAGCTAAGGAGATGAGCTGCTCTGGCTTCTTGGCCGTGTCCAAAGCCAGCCACGTCACCAGGCCTCCCAGGAGGAGCACATACAGCAGCCTGCAAAGAAACTTCCAAACTATCACAGAGAGGCAGTCCCCACAGAGAGCAGCTCGGAGAGAGCAGGAGTTGACTGTGTGGAAGATGCCCAGCCTCCTCCCTGCTTACCACTTCAGCCATGGCCAGGACTTCTGCAAGCATTTCCAAAGGGGGCTGAGGAGTGTCAACACCTTTGCCCCACAGTACTTCTTGAAGAGGCTCCAGCACATGAAGAAGATGACCACCGCAGTGATAACGACCAAGGCGAGGGCTTGCTGGAAGTTGAGCCAACACGCCGCAATGAAGTAGCACAGGTAGGCTGAGGAAGGCATGCGGGGGGTCAGAAACACCAGAATTGTGAGATCATGGATTCACAACACTAACTGGGGACAACAGTGAGGTATGCTGCCTCCAAACATCCTTCCCTGGCCACCTTAGAGGCTCTCCTTTGTGTGCGGGATGAGCAGGAAGCAGACCGTGGGGCTGATGAGGTGCAGCCACCATGTGGGTGGCAGTGCCTGGATGCTGCATGGGCAGCCAAAGGGGTGTGGAGGTGGTGGAAAGTCCTCACCTGCTCCAAGGAGCCCCCAGCAGACCCTTCGCAATGCCTTGGCGTGAGCCTTGCAGAATCTCTTTGCCTTGGAGGCTGGCTGCAGGGCCTTCCTGGGGAGAGTGGACACACGAGGTGCAGATCAGCCCAATTTTGAGCTTGCTATGACCATTGGAGATATTTCCGTGCGCACGTCTCCAGGGATTACCTTACCTGCAGTATGAAGCAACTCTCCCATTGCCTTCTCTTCTCTTCCTCTCATTCCCACCATGTGGACCATCACGTTCCTCGCAGAGCTCCTCCTCACCCTGGAAAACATCGTTAGCCGGAGCGCCCAAGCAGCTCCTGCACCCCAACAGGGAGAGAATGGGGAGGTTTACCAGGGAGCTGAAAGCAGAGTTGTCTATGCCTTTCTCGAGGTTGTCCAGGTTTATCTGGTTTCCTTCCATCTCTAGACGTGCCATTGCTTCACGGTGCTAGAGACACAGCATGGCGATTGACCCACTGGCTGAGGACACAGAGCCTGGGTCAGTGCCAGAGGGACAAATGTCTGCCCCCAGTTTTTGGTCTGGGGTCTCTGGGGAGAACAGCCTTTGCAGGAGGGATTCAGAGCAGCTCCTGTGCCAGCAAATTGAGTAGCCATCCTTTAGGGTGTGCAGGGCTGGGTGTGCTGGCCCACTGTTTCCCTGCCATCCTGGAGGGCCTTTGCTCTCCCCTGCTTCCCAAGGATTACAGGAAAGTGTCAGACCCCAGAATGCAATGAGGAGAGCCAGCACCCCTCCTCCACCCTCCCCTTTACAAAAATGGGAGATTTTGTACAAACTAAAATTGGTCATCTCCCTCACCAAGAGCTCCCAGTGAAACCAAGTGCCCTCCAGCTAAGAATAAGGAAGAAAGGCTTTTCACGCTGGTGACAGGAACAGGGCAGGAGGAACATGTAGGAATAAACAGAGATTTGCATGGGGACGGTTTTAAAGGAGGATCATGCTGGGAGAACTGGTCCAGCAAAGCAAGAAAAAACAGTGTTAGCGAAGCGCAGAGTTCCTGGAGCATCCCGTTGGGACACCTGTGCCTGGAGAAGGATGGGAGAAGAGCAGAGCAGCCGCAGGGAAAGCAGTGGGTGACCGCGGGAGGACAGAGGGGAGCATGAAGGGTCCTCACGTGGTGGCAGCGAACGAGGCAGAGAGGCCAGTGCCACCCTCGCTTTGTTGCAGCGACGGTCCACGGTGGGCAGCAGAGCCCCTCGAGCACTCCCAGGACTCGGGACCCCAGAACAACATCCACTACTCAGGAGCCCCCTGGGCACCCCCAGCGCCCCAGCACCAACCTGGTGGCACTCCGCCAGACCCCGAGCGCGGCCACTCGCTGCCCCCTCGTCCCCCACGCCTCGTCCCCGCACTCACACTCCGTCCCGCAGCGCCCGACCCGGCCCCGCAGTTATCCATTAACCGCTCGGTCCAAAGAGCTGTGCCCGGCGCCCGGCCCTGGAGCACCCGCAACAGCACCGCAGGGATCCTCCCGCCCCGCTAAAATAAAATAAAAATCACAAACCAAAAAACACTGCAAGAAGAAATAAAGCTGGGGAAACGCCGCAGCGGTGCAAAACCGTACAGTGCAAAGGGACGTGGTGGTGCAAAGCTGCACGGCGCAGATGGATGCGGGACGGACGCGAGCGAAGTCGGGCACCATTTGTTCGGCGGGAGCGCAACGAGCAGCGCTGTGCGGTGCCCGGGGGTCGCGCGCCACGCTGCCGCAGCACGGCGGGTTCGGCCACGCGCTGCCGGACGCGCGGAGCCGTGAGGGCCGTCCGCCCGCAGGCCGGGCCGAAGGCACCGCGCAGTTCACCCGTCCTGAGCGCCGAGCCCGCCCGTATCCCTTAAGAGCGCCGCCGGCGTGCAGTTCGCCCACAGCCCCGGTAGCGCGCCGTGATCGTATAGTGGTTAGTACTCTGCGTTGTGGCCGCAGCAACCTCGGTTCGAATCCGAGTCACGGCATCGCCTCCGCACGGCGGTATCACGGCACAGGGGCTTCTGTTTTCCTTTTCGTCGTGGATCCCACGCTCGCTGCCTGCTCGTGTCAATTTTTTTAATGTCATTCTCTCCTTTCTCGCAGCGGCTCCTGCATTCCCACCAGCTGCGGCTCTCGGCAGTCGCTGTTCCGGGTAAAAAGAGGGAAGAAAAAAAGAAAAAATAAAACAGAAAAAAAGAAAAAGCAGCAAAAGAGGAAAATGATGGGAAAAGAAAGAAAATTTAAAAAAAAGGGGGAAAAAAAGAAGAAACAAAGAAAGAAGAAGAAAATTAGATAAGAAACAGAAGAAAAAAAAAAAGCAGGAACTAGATAAGGAAAAGAGAAAAAAAGAGGAGAAAATAAGAGGGAAAAAGAAACGCGAGCCCGTTTGCCGTGGTACCGCCATGCGGAGGCGATGCCGTGACTCGGATTCGAACCGAGGTTGCTGCGGCCACAACGCAGAGTACTAACCACTATACGATCACGGCGCGCTACCGGGGCTCTGCAGCGCAGCCCTCTCTGCACAGCTCTTACGGCTGAGCCGGGCTGATCTCACTGTGACGTCATCGCCCCGCCCCCGCCCCGCGCTGCTTTGACAGGGGAGGGTCGCGCGCTGTCTCCATGGCGATGCAGGGTGAATGGCAGCTCCATCCGCCAATCGGCTGCGGGCCCCTGTGCCGCGGGACCCGGCCTGACCCTTCGCGGCTATGAGCGCTCTGTATCCTGCTGCCAATTCTGCTCCGCATCTCGCCTGCGCTCAGCCCCAAGAGCTCGGAGGTGCGGACGAATGTGCGATGGGCATTTCCTGACCGCCCTTCGCCTGCATCCATCTCTTCCTTCCCTCGGCCCCTTGGTGTCTCTGCTCTGGGAGGTGCTCTGCAGGACGCCGACCCGGCAGCGCTGGGTCTGACGAATAAAGCGCTCTTTGGGGTATCCCAGAATGGGGCCCCAGCGCAGGAAGGGTGCGGAGCTGCTGGAGTGGGGCAGAGGAGGCACGGAGATGCTGCGAGGGCTACAGGACGATACAGGAGGACCAACTTTTTACATGAGCAGATAGAGATAGGTCAGGGGAATGGCTTTAGGCTAAAAGGGGGAAATGTAGGTGAGACGTTAAGAAGAAATTTTTTACTCAGAGGGTGGGGAGGCACCAGAACAAGTTGCCCAAAGAGCTGTGGTTGTCCCATGGAGCCCCGGGCAGCCTGAAGGGTGGCAATCAGTTCAGGGCAGATGGGGTTGGAACTGGGTGACTTTTAAGGTCCCTTCTAACCTAAGCCGTTTTATGATTCTGTGATTCTCAGGCTGAGCTCAGTGCCCGCCATAGCCTTGATCCCGGTTCTTAGCCCAGTATGGTGTTCACCTGGCTGTGTACTGGCCTCTGTGGAGCTGGTTTCTCTTTAGGTAGGCATGATGGGGCTCATGCTTTGGATGCTTAGCCATCGGAATAGCAATGACCTCAGCTGCTGGAACAGGAACCGTGGAGATAAACATTGTGGTGATAAGGAGGAACTGGCCTAACATGGAAGAGAGCAGAGAGGTGGCAAGTGGATGCAGAGATAAAAGTTCTGAGGGCCTGGCTGGTGTGTAAAGAGGAGGCTTGGAGCTGCTGTCATCCATCACCGGCATTGCTGACCCTGTCCCAGCACTGCTTCCTACCAATGGACTGCTTTTCCCCGATGAGATTTGGATGTGATTTTTCCTAACTGAAATCACACCAGGTTTTCAGGACCCCAGCAGCCTTTTCCTGCTTCATGGTTTTGCCCACAAGGTGTTTCTGATAGTTTGGACCTGCAAGGATGTGTTGGGGAGAAGGGATGCGTAGTATTAGTATCAGTATCTGTCCATCTTCTGGGTGGTCTGATCCCTTTGGGTTCTGCTCAGCACCTGGGCAGGATGCTGAGCTCCTGTGCTCTTCACCCTGTTTCCCCTGGTGGCTTTCCTCCTAGCCTATAGGTTGTTCAATGGGGTTGTACAAGTGCCTGCTGGGGCAGCAAGGCAGAGAGTGCAGCCACTTCATGGCACACACATAAATCTTGCAGCTGGCACAGGGACAGGAGCAATTCATCACTGTGCTGCTGTCTTAGCTGCTCAGCCCCTTGAGCAGCCTCTCCAGCTGTTCCCTCAACAGGGCACCCGCAGCCTCACTTCTCCATCTCAGGCAGGCAGAGACATCCCCACTGCTGCCTCTTTTGGTCCTGGTGCTGTCTTGGGTTCCTAAAACATCCCTGGGAAAGGTGCTGCTATCTACAAGGCCAGGATGGATGCTTACAGCTGCAAGCAGGCACTCTGGATTTTACTGGTGATACAAAACTGTGCACTCACACAGGCCAGCACTGTCATACTTGGAGTCCATAAATGCAGCTTGAAATTTGCTCTGCTGCTGCCAGCCCACCTTCTTTCCTGAGGAAATCAGAGTATCTCCACTGACTTCTACCACCCGGCCCTATATCCCACGTTTCCATACCTATGGGCACTGCTGGGCAGGATGCAAAAGCAAGGAGAAAGGTCTGGGTTGATATTAGAAGAAAAAGTTAAGGCGGGATCTGGGGCAAAGGAAAGCACATCTGAGTTTTGTGGGATGGTACAAGCAACATGACCGGGCTCTGGCCCTTCCATGCTTCCCCCCATCCTCTTCTACCTCATGATATCGAGGCTTTTGTTCCCTAGAGTTGATAATATCTGCATGTTAGATCTGATTGCTCTCAGAAATTCTTGTTTGTATCATTTATATTTGTTTCAGGCAAAGATTACGTGTTTGACATGATCAGGACTCTTTTTCTGGCTGTTAAAATCCATCTGGACATGCACCTGGGCAGTGCTTTAGGAGTCCTGCTTGTGCAGGAGGTTGGACCTGGTGGACCCCAGAGGTCTCTTTCAACCTCAACTGTTCTGTGACGTATGCCAAGGACTGAAGGATAAGCACTCAAGCTTTTCTTGACACGAATTTTCAGCTGTGACACTCTCAAGAGGCTTTATGAGCCCACAGCAGGGCATAAGATTTTGTTCTCTTGGTTCTTTTCCCCATCTGCCAGCACTACTTGGGGCAAACATACAGGTTATAACAGGCGGATTTTGCGCTTTTTTTGTGTGTTCTGGGATCTCCTTGCCTGGCTCTGACTTCAGACAGAAAGGAAAATGGTGCCCAAAATGCATGGAGCAGAGATTCCCTAAAGCTGTCACTTCTGACCTGCAGGGAACACAAAGCGCACTGAGCCCTTTCCTGGTAGGTCCAGCATCCAGCTGGAGATGGGATGCGATGCAATACCCCAGGGGAGAGTGAGCTGCGCCCCTGCATTATATAGATGCTGCCACATGTCTGTCTGCTTGGCTCCAGCTGCCAGCCTGAGCTCTTGCTCTGCCTTTGTCTGCACTGCAAGTGGGAGCCTCCTCCTGCAGCAGAGATGTACAGCCTGCACACAGCCACCTCTTCACCTCTCGTTGTGGTGCTGAGAGGGCAGAAAACAGGCAGGCACCTGCTGCCTGGCAGCCTGCCCTGCGCTCACCTCCCTGCCACCTGAATTCCCCTCAGAGTTCACCTTCATTTTCTGCCTTTTGGAAACATGGGACTGGACTGTTGGCAAAATCACCTGCATGGGGGGAATGGTCCCTGTTTTGCCCTTGTCCACCATGCCCATCCCTGATGGCTGATGACAGCCCTTTGAAGAGATACGAGGAAGATGCCAGAGGTAGTTCACAGCCCCTAGGCAATATAAAGTCAGGGAGCATCTGTGTGCAGATGGATTCAGTTCTATGAGCACGGCCACTGCAGCTGGATTAATCAAGCCCCCATTAATACTTTCTGGGGTGCTCGGGTTCCCTGGCAGCTCCTGAGCACTGTCCTCTGTCTGGCTTATCATGCTGATTGAGCTGCAAATGCTCTGCCTCCTTAGTTTGCCCTGCCTCAGATCGATGAGTGCAGGCAGCTCCAATCAATTCCACTTTACCGCTTGCTATCAGGTTCAGATCCACGCTCTCCCAGCTGGTCCCAGCTTTCTTTGTTCATCCAGGAGTGGAATTTGGGCAGCCCATCCCACTTGAAGACTGCTGTGCCTTTGCAGAGCTAATTCTGCAAATGCAGCTGTTCCTCCCTGCCCTCCCTGCCGCCCTCAGGACCTTGTGCTGAAGGGCCCAAATTTGTGCCAGGACTCAGAGCATCCAAGTGTCAGAGTGGCTGGTAGTGTGAGAGTAGGTGGCTGGGTGAGGCTGTGAGATCTGCATGGTGGTTGTTGCCACTGAACCGGCATCTGCCAAGAGGTTTTCCTGTCACAAGCCTGGTTTTGCTGGGGAAAAAGCAGCTGGCAGCTGCAGAATGCTCCCATGGCTTGGCTTCCCAACCCCGCCGGCAGCAAACACAGCTGCAGATCTCAGGGGCTTGAGCCCCTACATGATGATTTTACAGGAAAACAATAATGTCAAAGAGTTTACATAGAGGATGTTCAGAAATTTCCCTCGGACCCACACCTCGTGACGAGAGAAGTGTTATGCACACTGCCCGCTGCTCCTGATGCCATCTTTCTCTTGCCTTTCTCACTCAGCTCTCTTGCTGGCCAGTTTCCAGGGTGCAGCGCCCGGATTTGCAGAAATGAAATTTCCCCATGGCTCTCCACACCTCGTCCAGTGTTAGCAAAATAACGGGGCACACCAGAGCACAGCTGTGGAGCTCACAGCCGTGGATGTGCTGGGGGCTGTCTGCGCTGCGAGCAGGGGCGGTGAAGGTGCATGGTGGGTGAGAGCAATGTGCCTTGCTGGCAGATGTCTGTCAATGAGTTGTCAACACTTCTTCTGGTCAATTAGAATCGTTTCAATGATATTATCAACTGCTTAATGATTTATTTTGACAGGAAGTTCGGGGCGCTTCAAGAAACGTCTGAACAGATCTGCTCCACTTTCTAAATGTGCGTGCTTTGGGCATATCCTGCGTGCCTGGACAGACAGCATCTGAGTGGCCTGAATGCACTTAGAAAACCTGAGTCTGTATTGCTTGTGTGAGCACAGATGCAGAGATGTCTGCGTTATGCTGCTTTGGAGGAGCAATGCATCTGACCAGATGTGGTGTGGGCCCATATTGTCTGCTGCCTTCCCAGAACAAATATCTTGGTCTAAATACAAAGACTTGCAGGATTGAAAGCTTTCTTTCTGCAGGTTTGTCTTATTTTGTTCTTAAACCATGCAGGATCTGCAGCAGCCCATGGAAGGAGGGCAGCTGAGTGCAGACTCATCTCCTCATGCTTACCCTTCATCTTCTACTCTCTCCCCACTCCCCTGAGCTGTGCAGGTCTCTGCGCAGTTTCCACATTTTTCTCTTTTCTATGCCAGAGAGCCTCAATCCATCACACAGCCCACGTGCGGAACCTTGGATCATCCTGCTGCCCTTCTCTGCACATTTTCCTGTTTTGCTGTACTCTTGGAAGGGGAGGACCAGGACCACACGAGGGGAGCTGGGTCTGACCCAGAGAACAGTGATGTCTCTGACGCATTCTCTACCTTTTCCTAACCCTTCCCAAATCAGTTTTGGCTGAGAAGTTTTGCAGTTTTGGCCTCCACTGAGTGCTGAGGGGATATTTTCACGGCTGTCAGAGCTCCTGGCCTCAGAGCCCATCACTTTAGACATTGAGGTCAGGCTTGGTTTCCCCACGTGTGTCACTTCACTGACACTGGCTTTCATCTTGCTTTATTGCCAAGCTGCTCAAGCTCTCAAAAGTCCTCCTGCCATTCTTAGCACTCATCTGCAGTACCCAGAATAATTCAGTATTATTAGCAGATTGTGTCACTTCTCCACTGATCTATCGTCAGCGGATCGGCTCATGGACATGCAGGTGACCTCTCAGTTGGATCTCTCTCAGGCGCCTGCTGCTTTTTCCTTGAAAGCCACTAGCTTTGGAAGAAATAAACCTCCTTTAAAAGAGCTGTGCTGACTCTTCCCCAGTATGTCATATTTACCCATCTGTCCCCTAACGATGCCAGTTTCCTGCTCCTTATGCCAGTTTTTGTTCATTTGCAGAGAACAGATGTGTCATTTATCAGTCTGTGGCTCCCTGGCTGCCTCTTGGAAGCACTTTTGGAGTTGCAGCTTCCCTCTCCCAGTCCTTGTGTCCCCTGCTGTACCAAGAGCTCAGGAGAAGCTCTGCATGGCCAGTGAATATACAGTCATCTCTGCTGTATAGGGTGGCTCCAAGGACAGAAGGAGCTGGAGGTACTACAGACATTCATGGGCTTTGATTCAAAACTGTGGAAGAAGCACCTGAAGGTTCACAGGACCACATGCCCCCCTGCAATGCAGGGAGGTGCTGGTCTCAGTGCCTGACGCAAGTGATGATGGTGGCCCCACATCACCTGTGGGTGAATCCCACTCTTCTTGTGCCTCCTCCAGAGCACGCAGGGGCAGAGATGTTCCCCTTTGAGTCACCAAAATCCTACAGCCATGAATTGGGCACCAAGCCCAGGCTTCTGTTGCCTGTGGAACCTGCAGAATGCTGGACTGCAGCCACTTTAACTGGAAGGGCACCAAGTGAGCCACAGGGACCATGCAGCCTGTGCCCTTCCAGACCCAGACAAGGTCCCATGTCCTGTTTTTGGCCTAGGAACCAGAACAGGGCTCCCATCCCCAGCTGCAGATGAGCCTAAGGAGCGCTCAGACCGGCTGAAGCAGCTCCTCCCATCAGCCAGGAGGGCACATGAGGGCTGAGGGCATGCACAGGGCTGGCGGGGGCCCAGAAGGCTTTACCTGGCTTTCTCTTCCTGGTGCATGCTTCAACCTGCTTGGGAAGCATTTACACAGGAAATGATGAGAGAAAGGGCTGTGCTGTGAGCCCCGACCCAAAGGCAACAGGGAAGAGCTCCTGGATCCTCTTGAGATGGAGGCAGATGGCAGAAAACAGAGGATGGGAGCAGAGCTCCCACCAAGACCTTGCTAAGATGCCTTCCCATCTCACCTCTTTTAGTACCCTGTGAACCAAACATCACTTCTGCGCCACCGTGAAGTGCTCACCTCCCAGCCAAAGGCTGCAAATGGTGGCTCCACTGCCATCTTCCCTGGGGCCCAAGGCAGCATCCTGCCAGGCGCTCCTTGCCGTGGCTGCATGAGGGAGCAGACAAAATGTTGAGTCTGGCACACACGCATGCTCCTGGTCCTCTCCCATCTGTCAGCTCTGTGCCCCTTGCCAAGTCCTGCACGAGCAACACTACATGACAGCCATCTGTCACAGGGCCTGGCCACGTGGCCTCGCAGATGGAGTGGCATCAAGGCCACGGATGTGGCACCAGGGCTGATCGCTGTGGTGCAGGCATCAACCCTGCGTCCCAACATGCATCAGAGACAATGGATACAAACACTTTGGGCATTGGAGCAAGATCAGCTGCAGCGAGACGCAGATGGAGCTCAGCTTTGGCAGTGCAAATGCAGAAATCTGTAGCTGCTTCTTAGAGCCACACACTGCCAAGAATGGAGAGATGTCGCCTGTGTCTTGTCACAACTGCAGAAAAAATACGAGCAGCCCGCGCCTGTGCTGAGCCATGTGGGGTGCAGAGCTCAGAGCCCCCTTCAGATCTCTCCCAGCGTCCCCTGAGGGGCTCCCAGCCAGCTCTGCCCTCCTCACCCCACACACTGTGCTGCTGTCGAGCTGCTCTGGGCTCCTCCCTTAAGAAGGGGAAGCCAACACTGCTCAAAGCTGAAGGCTCAGGTGGATTCCGGGACGTTCCTCTGTGATGCCCCTGCGGCCACCTCACCAAGGAGAGATGCAGCAGGGTGGGATGGGAAGGAACAGCCACTATCATTCCTCCAGCATGGTGCTATTTTTAAAAAAGCAGCCGTTGCAAGCTGGTCCCTCCTTGGCCACCTCCCAGAGGATGCAGAGTGCATGCTTTGCCAGCCTGAGGACTGAATGAGAGCCACTGGTGGCAGATGTTGCTGAACATCCTCCTTGGCTACTGACAGGCAGTGGAAGCGCTGTCACTCATGTGCCATCAGCTCTGAATCCTGCTTCATTCCCACCGCTGGACAGACAGATTGAGAACCTCTGTTGTTTCTGTATTGTAATAACTATTTCATCATCTCCATTGGCCAGGATTTAGCGAGTGCCTGACCTCAAATGCTTTGAGCCTTGCGCTCAACCTGTGTGTGGCAGGCAGCTTTTCTCCTCCTGAAGTCTTTTGTATCCCATATTCTCTGAACGCAGATACACTCTGAATTTCCTAATGTGGATTGTTGGGTGCTGTCTGGTTGGGGATCTGGCGGGGTTTCTATGCTAGAAGCAAGCAGTGTGCGCTACTGCTATCCAAACAGCCTCTCCAGAGAACGGGCACCACTCAGCGCAGCCTTCCCATACAATTCAAGCTGCTCCCACTTCTCCTTCTCCTCCTCTCTCTCCCGCGCCGAGGAGAGCGGGGGCAAACTGGGGGGAAGCAGCCAGCCCCGGGAGCAGCCCGCGGCGCCAAGGCAGGCCGGGTGGCGGCGGGGCGGGCCCCGCGGAGGGCGGGCCGGGCGGCGGGGGTGCGGGGCGGACCCGGGGGAAGCGGGCGGGGCGCGGTGGGAGCCGGGCTCGGGGAGCGGAGGGGGGGGGAGCCGGGAGCGCAGCTCGGAGCCCCGCTCGGAGCAGTCGGCGCCGCGGCTCCGGCAGGTGGCACTGGCCGCCTCCCTCGGCCGCCTTCCCCGCTCCCCCCCCCCCGGCCGGGCCGCCCCGGCCGCCCCCAGTCCGCCGGCGCCGATGCTGCTGAGCGGAGCGGCGGCCGGCTCGGAGCGCGGCGGCGGGGCCGGGGCCGGGGCCGGGGCTGAGGCCGGGGCGGGCGGCGGAGCTCCGCAGTGCGTGGGCACCATGGCCCGCTGGCTCCGCGAGCACCTCGGCTTCCGCAGCGCCAAGCCCGCGCCGCCCGCGCCGCCCAAACCCGACTACCGCGCCGGGCCGCCGCAGCCGCCCCCGCCGCCGGGAGGCGCCGCCGAGCCGCTGGCCTCGGCCCAGCCCGACATCGTGGCCGCGTACCGCCTGCAGAAGGAGCGCGACTTCGAGGACCCGTACAGCGGGGTGCCGCCTCCCGCCGCCCCCGACGGGCCCCGCTACGTCTCGCCCAAGCACCGGCTCATCAAGGTGGAGGCGGCCGAGAAGCCGCCCGCCTGTCCCGCGCCGTCCCCCGCCGCCCCCGGCTCGCCCCCCGCCGGCCCCGAGCCGCCCGACGAGCCGCCGCAGGAGGTGAGTGCCGCGGCGGGACCCGAGGGCTGCTGGCGCGTCTCCGACGGGTTCTCCGCGTCTCCCGGCGCTGGCGTCTCTGCGGAGGCGACCCGCGGAGCTCGGGACGTCTCCCCGGTGCCGGGCCGCCCTCCCCGGGCCTCCTTCCCCGCAGCGCCGTGAGCCTGCCGGGGCCTGCCCGGCCCATGCCAGCTGCTTTGTCGGGAAGCGGCCGTGCCTCTTTGTCTGCCGCCTCCGAGCTGGGGATGGAGAGGAGGCGAGAGCGGTCCCCGGGCCGGTGGCACGCAGACGGCGCCAGGGACGAACCCGCGGCAGCGGGCGAGAGTCCGACGGGGCACCGTGCGAATTAAGGCTCGCGGGCGCCCGGCGGTGCTGCAGGATGGGGCCTGCCGGGAGAACTCCTCGCGGATCGGCCTGCCGAAGGGAAGGAGGGAGTTGTTGATAGAACAGTCGCGGGCGTCGCCTGACACGCCGTGGAAACGCGCGCCGAGCGAAACCCGGTCGGGGAACGCTGGATGCAGGCAAACAAGTTGTCGCCGGTGGATCCCGGGAAGTTGCTCTTAGTGCATAATTGCTATTGGAAGGTTTGCGGCGGGGCCCGTTCAGCTGTGATCCCACGAGCTGCCCGCAGCAGAGCAGGGCTTCGGTTTGTTGGGGCCTCCGGGGGGTTCTTCCTCCTGATGGCAGAGGGACGTGAGGTGCTGCAGCCCAGGGACTGGTCTGTATCCATTGGAGTGCAGTGAGAGGCTGGAAAGTGCAGCAAAGAGCCAAGGGCTCGGAGGCGGCTGGGGAAGCCCAGGTAGCAGCGTGGGTCCAGAGGATGTCCTTCATCATCACCCAGGCAGGCGGTGGTGAGGCTATCACCGGATCCTCCCTCTTGATGAGGAGGAGGTTTCTCATTTTTTAGGGTTCTCATGATGGATGGAGGCAGTGCTCGAAGGGCTAGGTAAGCTGGAGATAAGCCCGTTAAAGCTAAAGCCATTTCCCTGGAGGAGCAGTGGAGCATCTACCACAGGGAGACCTTCTGCTGGGCTCAGGCACCTTTTCCAGCTCCCATCTGCTGCACTGAGTGGTGGGAGGGTTCCCTGCCTGCAGCATGGCTGGGTTGCTCACTGTGTCCTTTGTGGAAGTGGCCCAGGAGGACTGAGGGTGGTTGCTGGAAGCTTGCTCACGCTTGTGGTGCCTGTGTCAGGGTGTCCTGAAGCACATGGCACCGGGTGGATCGTCATAGCTTTGTGCAGTCTGTGGGATGGGTGGCATCCTGTGATGACGTGCTTAGGGCACGTTCAGCAGCTCATGTTGCGTTATCAAATGTTCCGGGGGTGGTGGGGACCGGCACAGATCCTCCTCCCTCTGCTTGGTCCCTGTGCTCCATCCCCCACAGCTTGAGCATGGGACAGATTCTTGAGATGTGTCTCAGACTCTTGAGATGTGCCATGCGAGGAACAGCATTGCCAGGATTTCCCTCGATGCACGTGAGACTTAGTGAGGGACCCCCTCATGGCACCACCCTGCCTGAGCCCAGGTGACACCTTTCTTGTCTGCTGTGAGATCTCCCCTTTGGGCCATCCCAACGGGGGCAAGAGACCACCACACGGGCATGTGTGGCTCCAGGTTTGCCAACATACTTAGGGTCAGCCCTGAGATGTGATGCTTCTGATGCAAAGCTTTTGCTGGGAGCACAAGGTCAGCACCGCAGCGTGTGGGAATGGCTGGCCAGGAAACTCCTGGGCGTGTGTCTTTCCTGCCAGAGCCTCTCAACTGAGTCATCCTGTGAGATGCTGTGCTGTTCGCCCCGGGCTCCCCACACCTCCTGTGCCCTGGGTGCAACCGTGTCCGGCTCCTGGGGCAGGGAACCAGGCCCTTCTTCTATGGCCAGCGTTTGTTTTGCTTTTGGGTTTGGCTTTGGTGCTTGCTAAAAGCTGAGCTGTGGGGTGATTCCCCTGGGGAAAAGGTCCTAGAGGTAAAATTAGGGAAATGTTGCACCCAAAGGAGAGAATGAAGCGGTGAAGTTATAACTCAGAGTGGCTCCAGTGTAAGGTGCTGCATGTGGAAGAGCATTTGAGCTGCTGTGCCGGTGTCCTATCTCGTCTGAGTCTGCTCTGCATTGATGGGGTGGGAGAGGGAGGCTCCGGGAGCAGTGCCAGCAGCAAGCCAGGTGTCAGGCTATCTAGTAAAACACATCTAGGAAATGGGGCTTGTGGCAGGCTGTGATGCAGGCGGGTTTGGCAGAGGAACAAGCAGGCAACCCCTTCCTGACCCTGCTGCCACTGTGGAGCCAGAGAGCTCATAGCAGGGAGTGAGGGAGTGCTGGGCATGGTGCCTCTGATGGCACAGAACCTCCCAGGGACTGCGGGCCGCTGAGCAGCTGCATGTTCCCTGATGACTGCTGGGGTTTGCTCTGGGGGTGATGCTATGCTGGTTGTGGGAGAGCTGCCCCTGGATGAGCTGAAGCTGCCCTAGGAGCCCTGGAGGGAGATGGGTGATGGACAAGACACCAAGGAGTTGTGGGGGTGTTTATAACTCCGGTTCCTGTCCCTTTTTCCTGCTGTGTTTTGTTGCTCCAGGCTATTGTCACTTTTCACAGGAAGGAGGAAAGAGGTGTTTTGTTTTAAACCCATTAATCGAAGAGCAGTCTGGCTCTGCCACTGGCTGTGGTGGAGTGGCAGATTGCACCCGTGAGGACAAACCTTGAGCTTGTTGTGTTTTCCTTGTGAAATCGTACCCAGGAGGCTCCTGGTTCTATTTCCTGGTGACTCTTGGTTGCTTGGGGGTCCCCTCCTGCATCACTTGTGATATATGGGGCCTGAGAAGGAAGAGAGGAAGCTATAGGCTGCTCGTAGTCCTTTTGCTAAGAGACACCTAGATGCCTACAGATGTGCCTGCAGCCCTGACAAATAACCAGTGAGCTCCCAGTTTCACCAGTGCCTGCCAGCTTCCCTGAACTGGGTCTCAGGCTGCCTCAGAAAACATGGCCAAGCTGAGAGCCTTACTTTTGGAAACAACCTTGCTGGGGCATCTGTATGGGCGCTAGTGGCTTTGCTGGTGCCAGGCCAATGCTAACAGAGGAGGCTGGGCTGCCTTCTGCTCTGCTTGGCTCTGGCCCAGCTTCTGGGACAAAGGCTGGAGCGTTTCCACTGCTGAGAGTCTCATGCGGGTGCCTGGAAAGCTACAGGCTGCCAGCACCTGCTCTGCAGGATTGCAGAGCCCACTTGGAGCCTTCCTCCAAAAGGAAAACAAAAGGGACAGGTGGAGTGGCAGCAACCCATGGCTCCTGCTGCCAGAACTTGGAGGCTCATCTGTCCCCATGGAGCTTGAGGTCCTGGCTGCTGCTCTGGGTGCTCCTCATGGTGAGGTGGTGACATTTGAAGGGGCTTCAGCTGGTCCCTTGGAAAGGCAGGGAATGGCCTAACCTTTTTCCCGTCCTTCCCTTTTCCAGCTGGCTGTCCTGGAGGACTATGCAGACCCCTTTGATGCTGCGCAGGTGGCTGGTAGCCAGGCAGGGATGGAGAAGGTGACAGAGAACGATGGATATATGGAACCGTACGAAGCCCAGAAGATGATGGCTGGTAAGGTGGAAAGTTCTGTGCAAGGACCACTGCACTCTTCCATTTCCTGCTGCTCTGTGAATTTGGTGGCCACTGCTCTGTTCCTTGCAGCCTCTGCTGGCACCAGGTCTCGCAGGGGTGGCCACCAAATCCGGGGGATGGCTACAGAGGAGCACAGCTGCTTTGCAGCCAGATTTTCACAGATTTACATGCGTGATAGGTTGGCCACAGACAGAGCACTTGTAAAGGCTACATGAGTATTAAAGGCCCCTCAACACTTCTGCTTGCAGTGCTGCTCGTGAGGTTGAGCCAGGAGAGACATGACATTCGATGGGTCTGGCACAGAGCAAGATGGATGTGGGAGCTATTTAATTTGGTTATGGCTGTTGCAGAGCGTGCTGTTGTCTGCTGCAGCAGCAGGGTCCCCCACGGTTTTGTTTATGGCTTGAAAGCAGGCGAGGTGAGAGCACGTGCTCCCAGAGGCATTGCTCTGACTGCTGCAGTGCACGCAGGGCTGCATGCTCCAGGCTCTGGCTCTGCTTTCCTGTCCTGTGGTTTCTCTGGAGCAAATGGTTTCTGTAAAGCTCGTGCAGCTTTTGGAGGACATTGCTGCTTTCTTGGAAGAATCAGCATCAACGAGGAGTCTTATTGTGTCTGTGGAGAGATTTTTGTTCTGCTCAAGAGTTGGACATTTAGTTAAACACTGCACTGTGGGGAGAGCAGGTATACTGATGCTGGTAACTGCTCAGGACCCTGCTGTCTGGCAGCTGAGCTGCTTGTGACAGGCAGTTGCTGGAGGTTTGGGCCCTCTCTGTCACTTGTGCTTCCCACCCTACATCACCCTCAGGTGAAACCAAGCTCTTGTCTGGTTTTGGGGACTGTGACCAAGTGAGAAGCTCACATTCTGTTCCATTTTCTGCTAGAGATCCGCCAGAAAGGCTTACGGGAGGCTCCAACCCGGCCACTTCACCTCTACGACACTCCTTATGAGCCCATCTCTGGAGGGCTGGATGTGGACACTGACCGCCCTGCCTGCCCCAGGCCTAGGGAATCTCGATTGCCTGAGGATGATGAGCGGCCGCCGGAGGAGTACGACCAGCCCTGGGAGTGGAAGAAGGAGAGGATCTCCAAAGCTTTTGCAGGTGAGCTGGGATGGAGGCAGCTGGAGTTTTGAGAAGCAGCTACTGATGCCGTGTAGCATTTTGTAGTGGGGAAGCTGGGATGGTGGTGTCAGCTTCTGCATTTCTGTGTCTCAGGGAGTGATGTTTCACTTGCACAGTGGCTGTTTGTCTTCAGCAAGGCTTGTGGCAGCCAGGCTGTGTGGGGCTGGTGGATGGAGCTGCCTTGGCAGCCTATCCAGTGCCATCTCCGACTGCCTGACTGATCAGCATCTCTGGTGCCAGCTGACTCCCGTCTCCCACCCCAAGTTACAGGGCCAGGGCTCCATCTCCAGCCCAGGAAGAGCTCTGCTTCCTTGAGATCACCTTTTGCAGGAAGGAGGGCTGGGCTGTCCCTGGCAGGCTTTGGCCAGACGAACGTCCATCCCCCTGACCTGTTTATCCATGTTGCGGGATCGATTGTGTTTGTGTTTGTTAATGAGGAAATCCATGCTGTGCATTAGTGTTGGCTCCATTGCCAGCACTGGCTAATTGCCACGCTCTTATCTAAGATGCATTTGAATTTGCAGCAGTGTGTCTGTGCTGCTGCTGGTGTGCACAAGGCATGAGCCTGTGATGGCAGTGGAGAGGCGTGGAGGCTGGGGCTTGGGAGTGATTCACCTTTTGAGTGAATGTGACACTGGTGTCTGATTGTCCCTGTGAGTGGCTGGGATTTGGGTCCTGGCACCCTGAGCTGAGGATTCAATTGGGCTGGATTTGTGCTGAGGTATCTGTGTAGGGGATTTGCCCGTTGCCCCTGGGTGGAGGAGGTGCATTCGTACATCTGGCTCATGCATAGATGCTGCCCAGGATGCTCCAGGTTGGCTCTGAGTCTGGAAGGAATTAATGCATGGCAAAGCCAGTTGCCATTCCTTGGCATGTGTGTGGGATCTCAGGAGCATCCTGAGATGCTGGAATCTCCCTGCTGGTCCCCCCGTTGAGACACAGTGGTACCAGCACTGGGCTAATCCACTGCGAGCTGCATCTGCGCTCCCTTCCCTGCTGCTGCAGACTGCCTCCAGCCACCTCATCATAGACTGCTCGTCCTACAGGATCCTGGCTGTCACCTGGAGCTTTGCTGGTTCTGGATGCCTGTCTGGGCAGCCAGCACCCTTTCCCCTTCCACCCCTCTTCCTCCTGTCACCTCCCTTAGCCCCATCTCTGCTGGTGGTGGCTGTGGGTCCCCTTGGCCAGCACATGGCTCCTGGGAATTCAGTCTTTACCTTACAGCTGCTGTTTTTCTCATGAGGTCTGGTGTTGCTGACGTTTTTTTTCTAAGCCTTCTGTTTCTCTCTTTCTCTTTCTCTCTCTTCCTACCCCTCCCTCACCCCTCCTTGTATCCAGTTGAAATCAAGGTCATTAAAGACCTGCCGTGGCCGCCACCGGTGGGACAGCTCGACAGCGGTGAAACCCCCCCCGGACAGTGAGGCCAATGCCTCCGTCCCCCCGCAGCACGGCTCGCAGAGCTACGAAGATGCCAACGGTGGGTGTCGCATGACAGCTGGGGTCCGGGGGGGCTCGGCCGATGCCTGCTGGGACTCTACCAGCACTGTGCCACGCTCTGCAGGTCCCCTCTCCCCCCCCCCCCCCCCCCCACTCCTCCTCCTCTTCCTCCTCTTCCTCCTTGGCTTGCCCGTCCTGGGCAGGACACACATGTTGTCCTTGCCTTTTCCACATCTCTGGTTACATGTCTTTGTGCCTGCGGTGGTCGAGCTGCACCGGGGGATTTTTCAGTGGCAGTTATTATTGACTGTTTTGTTCCCTCCTCTTTGCCTCCAAATTCCCAGCATTTGATGGCCGCTTTTAGCTTTTCTTTTTGAGCATTTAGTTGATGTTTTCCTGTGACTCTTAATATGCAACCCCCTTATGGGCACGATACCAGCTTATTCAGATCTCACCACTGAAATTTGGGGTTATTTTTTCCCCAGGTGCATCCCTTTGTCATTCAGCATCACTCTGTTTCACCTGTCGTTTCCCTGCCTTGCTGTTCAGTGGCAGGAGATCCCTCTGGATTCCCAGCTCTTGCTTTCACTATCCTGAAGAGCTCCATCTCCCAGACACGCTTTGTCATCTCAGGTTTGCCTTTCTGCAGAGCCCTTTTTGTGCATGCTGGGAGGCAGAGCCCCTGCTAAACTCTCCTTGAGCTCTGCTGGCCATTTCACTTACGGCAGCCAATGACTGCGGCTTCTCTTTTGACCCATTATTAATTTTTTAATGACCTTGTTCTGCAGTAAGGTTTTTTACAAGAGCATCGTCTAAAGGGCTTCTGTCAGGACCCACCCAGGCTGGTGGGTCCGGACTGGGCTGGCCTTGCTTACATGAGACCAATGTGTGAGACGTGACTTTGCAGCATGCTGTGCCCACCCGTGCGTCACTAAGGCTGTTCCTGATGGATGCTGTGATATGCCAGCTGCGGACATCTGATTTCCTTGTCTGCAATTACCCAGATCCCTGCAGAGCTTCATACAGACCCTGCTGGCTCCCCACGAGGTTGTGTGTGACGGCCGATGTTGCTTCGCAGGGACACCCTGCAGCAGTGTGGCTGCCCCACATGCCCTCCTGGTGAGGCCACAAGCAGCTCATCCCAGAAGGAGAAGGGCCTAATGGAAAACTTCCCGCTTCTCTTTGTACGATAAATGCAGGTGTCACGCAGAACTAATTTGTGTGCTGCACAGCCACCTCCTTCCTCTGTCATTTGTTATCCCTGCAGTCGCTCTGAAGACATCGGTTTGTCATTTTTCCTGGCTTAAGCAACACAAACGCTCATTTTCATTTTGACTCGCTTTGTTGTGTTAAGTTTATCTCGACGGAGTTACGTGTTATTTTCTACTGTCCCTGTCTGGGGGTGACTTGAGCTTCTTGAAGGATGTCTTCTCCATCCCGGGGACTTGTTTTTAATATCCTGTTTAATCATGTGCATGCCTCTGCTGCTCTCTGACAGATACTATGTATTTCTTCTGAGCCTCTAATATGATGACTTTGTGCTGCTAGCAAGTGCTTCAGCCTTCTGATTGCCTGACTTTTTAATGATTGCCCCAATTTTTTAAGGTGATGAGTTGAAATTGAAGCCTCTAGCCAGCTGCTACAGGCAAGGGCAAGCCCATGTAAAAGCTGAACCTCTGCAGAGGCATGGCCTGAGCACCTCGTTCCTCAGCTCCTCCTGAGGAAATTTGAGCTGAGATGTTTGCGGAGGACTGAAAAAACTGCATTGGTGAACAGGGAAGCTTATCCCAAGGGCCAGGTCCGGCACACCCACCCTTGGGGCAGTTGTGCTCTGCAGCAGCATCCGCCAGCAGCTCTGCCGATCAATAAGTAATTTGTGCGAGGGGGCTCACTTGGCAGGGGAGCAATAATGAACTCTCTGGAGGAGGGAGAAACAATATTATTAATGCTGAAATCATCTTGCACGGAAATAACATTCAGTGGGAGGCTGGGTCCCCAGGGCACATCTTGGTTAATCCCCCTCCTGCTTCTTCCTTCAGCTCCATCTTCCTCACTCCTCTTTTCTTCTTTTCAAGATTGGAGAGCCTCTCAGTACTAATTCTCTTGATGGGGATGCCTAATTGTATGCTGCAACCACCGAATCTCGTTACATTAGCAACACACGTAAGCTCTCTGAGCTTATGAAACCTCACTGGAAAATATTTCCAGGGACTGGGGCATGGTGAGAACCCCGCTCTGCACTGAGTCTTGGGGGTGGATGCTGCATGGAGCTGCCCTGTGCTGTCCTCGTATGGGGACGGGGCAGTGAGAGGGACCCAGTGTGATTTGGCATGGCTCTGGCTGTCTCTGCAGCCTTCTTCTGCATGGGGAGAGCTGGGTTTGTTTGCAGTCTGTCAGACTGTCCCTGCCACCGCTGTGATGTCCGTCTGTCTTGCAGGGCCATCAGAGGGGCTGGGCTATGGCCGCACCTCACCCTGCAGAGAGGAGAAGGCTAGGGCTGCCCTCAGACATGGTACCAGCAGCCTCAAGAGCACCAAGGCATTGAGCACGGAGCCTGGTCCCTTCCTTGGGGAGAGGATTGACCCCGCGCTGCCCCTGGAGAGCCAGTGGTGAGTTCTTTTGTATCCAGGTGTTCTTTTCAGTTTTCTTTCTTTTTCAGTTCTTTTGTTCTCCAGGCGGCTCTTTTGTATCCCCATCGCTGTCTTCCCCTCACTTTCTTCCCCAGCACTGTGTTTCTGCCACCTCCTACTTGTCCCCGCTGCCCTCCTTAGGCTACCCCTGCCCCCTGGCACCCTCTGCCACCCGCACCCCTTACCCCCAGCATGGGGACTGGCGTCACTGCTGCCACGAGGCTCTGTGCTGCTTGAAGCATGCATGTAGCCAAGTCCCTCTCCCCCCCGCAGCTGGTATCATGGGGCCATCAGCCGGACGGACGCAGAGACGCTGCTGAGGCTCTGCAAGGAGGCCAGCTACTTGGTGCGCAACAGCGAGACCAGCAAGAACGACTTCTCCCTCTCCTTGAAGTGAGTGAACCTGTGCAACCTGGGGGGCTGCAGCTGGGGCCGTGCTGTGCTGTCTTTGCAGCGGAGGTGATGCTGTGCGTGTACCCCCAGTGCTTTGGGGGCTTGGAACAGCACACTCCACAAGGCTGCTCGGGGACAACAGCAGGGCTTTGGAATACGAGATCTGCCTTTCTTTGTGGGGTGGCACAGGCTTTTGACGTTTGGTTTGGTGTCTGGCAGAAGCGTCTCTTGGGAAGACTTCCAGAGCTAGAGGCATGCTGCTTTCCCCTTGGCAGTGCTCATAATCCCTCAGACAGATAAAATGATGTGCCCTATTACTCACTTGAATGTGTGTGATTACAGCTTCCAGCTCTGGCTTATTGCTGCCCCTTTTTGTAGCTGAATTTCATGAGAAAATAAAGTCTGTACAATCCTGTTATTTATGGAAATGTCCCCAGCCCTTCTTCCCCAGCCCTCTTAAACGCTGAAGCCGTTCCTTAGCCGTGTGGTAGAGAGGGCACTGTGCTGCTTTGATTTCTCAGCAGGGAAGCCTCGCTCCCACAGCATGGCTGGGTTTCTGCTTGGGTCAGGAGGGGATCTTTGTACCTTCCCCAAATTTTCCACTTTCTCTGAGAGCCAAAGCTGCATGAAGCATCAAGGTACGTGCACAGAGCTCCATTCCTAGCTCCTTGGGGAGTCTTGGGGCAATCTGAACCTGCAAAAATAAAGCTGCTTCTGTCCTGAAGATGATGATGGATTAGCAAATACTTCCTTGTCCTTCTGCAGGGCTAGTACATTAGCTCTCTTCCTGGCACGTAGGAAAAAAGTATTGAGCACTTCAGTCATCCCTGCCTGATGGCAGACCAGGTGTCCCTACCCTTTTCTCAATATACCCAATATTTTCCCAGTGGTCTCTGTACCTGTATTGCTACCTGGCAGATTCAGCCTCCCCTGTTTATTTTCCAGTGCCACAGTTGTGAATTAGATTTCTCCATCTCTTTTTTTTTTTTCCTTTTTTTTTTTTTTTCTTTTTATTTCTGCCTTCAGCACCAAAGTGGGGCAGATGTTTATCTGGAAAAAAAAAAAATGTATCTGTGCTTCCTTCTGTGCTTGTAGCCTTTAGATCAGACAGCAAACCTCTTGCAAAAGCTCATCGCTTTCATTTCTTTGTCGGAATTTTTACTGATTTTTGAGTTTTCTCAGTAATGTTTCCTTGCCTTGGGGCGAGCTCTTCTGAAGCAACAGCTTCTGCTGATTGGTGAGCGGTGTTGGAGGCCATGAGATGTCCTCTCAGCCACCAGTAAGCCATTACATGTGTCTGAGAGGTGGCATCGGGATTGGTGGGACTCCCTCCCTCTCCAGCGTGGCTACCCCCCAGGTCAGCTGAAAAGCTCTGATACTGTGTATTTCCCCATTTTCACAGCTTCCCTACAATTCAGTCATCTCTTTGGATTTTTTCTCCCTGAGTCTCGTGGCAAGAATGCCCTTCTCAAATGGCACACGTGGGTGGGACGTAGCCTTGCAGCTCTGTGCTTCTGCCCACAGGAGGCTGCATCCCATCCAAGAGCTGGTCAGGCAGTGTCCAAGATCTTCATCTGCAGAGACCGCACAGTCTCAGGAATGTGATTTTTACTGCGTTGCCTTTCTCTATAGAGCCTTTTCAAGGAACATCCCTTGGGATGCTTTTTATATAGCTCTAAGCTGCTTGCCTGCATCTATCTCTCTTTCTCTTTTTTTTTTTTTTTTTTTTAAAAAAAACTATTTTTCTCGAGGAAGGGGGAGTGACTGAAGAGATGATCTGAAAGTGGAGCTCTGGTGCTGATCCCCAGTCATTTTGTGTTGCCTTAAAGGAAAATGTGCACAAAAGAGAGCAGCAGGAGCCTGCCAGGTAGCTGGGAGGCTTAACCCTGTCATGACCACTCTGGCTGTGCTGCCCCTCAGAGTGCTGTGGGCAGGATTATGCTGTATTAACTGCTCAGAGGATGAGTCACTGGCAGCTCATTCCTTCCTGGAGGCAGCTGAAGCTGTGGTGTGGAGGCTGGAGGCTCTCTGTGCCCGTTGCATGGTGCAGAGGTTGCAGCAGCTGCTGGCTGTGACTCTGCTGGCTTTTCAGTGTGCTCCCTTGAGCATTTCCAGTCTTGGTCACATCTCTGAGCTTGCAACATAAACCTAGGGAGCAATTGGGGCAAAACCCACCCCGCAATGGACCTTGTGTGGCAGCTCTCCTCCAGCACTTACCCTGTACTGAGCCCTGTGTGTGCCCCAGACACAACCCCTTTCCCGGTGGGGTTGGCTCCCTGCTTCTCAGCTCCTAAATGGATTCTGCTAATGCAGCTGCTCTGTCCATTATGGGCACTGTCTCCAGCTGGGGGGATGGGACTGGCCTGCACAGCACTGGATACGGCTCAGCATTGCTGATGAGGTCCTGTCTGCTTTTAAGTCATCAATATTTTGCTGTAATGTGCATTCCAGACGCTGCAGACAGGCTGTGGCTCTCCTCAGAGACGCAAATTAATAGCAACAGGGCCATTAGCCCGTCACTTGGAATCAGAGCTCGTGGCAGTATCTGCCTGCGCAGCCGCGTGTGGCTCAGTGCCTGTGCTGTGCCGGGAAATGGCCTCGCTATGCTGAGCGGGTTTTATGGGGCCTGCAGTGATGGTAAAGGGAGGGGGGCACAGCCTGAAGGAGGAAATCCTGCTTTACTGCAGCAAGGCAGGGGATGCACCAGCCTGACGCCTCCTGGTGTGACTGCTGTGTGAGCTGGGGTGGCTGTAAGAAGGGCTTTATTCCCACTGGGCTGAGAGCTGCAGGACCGGAGGGCGATGTGAGAAGGGCCATGGCTGCAGGGGTGGGGGTCTGGGGACTGCTGTCTCCTCTAACCCTGCCTCTGTCTTTCCTCACAGGAGCAGCCAGGGCTTCATGCACATGAAACTATCCCGGACCCAGGAGAACAAGTACGTGCTGGGTCAGCACAGCCCGCCCTTTGACAGCGTGCCAGAGATCATTCATCACTACGCCAGCCGCAAGCTGCCCATCAAGGGGGCTGAGCACATGTCCTTGCTTTACCCGGTGGCTATCCGCACTCTATAGCTGTCACCACGCACGAGCCGAGCTCGAAGCTGTGTGGACCTGAAGGTGGCCTGTCTGCAGGGCCGAAAGCTGCTGTAGTGGATGGGCACCAGAGCAGCGAGCTGGGCACAGATGGTGTTACTGGGGACTTTGGCAGCTAGACCCCTCGTCATGCTCTCACCTGGGGTTCCTGTGTGTCAGTGTGCCTGCTGGGATGGTGGCAGGGAGAAGGAGCTGAGTGGGAGCATCCATGTGCTGCCCTCCCCCTCTTGGGAAGCAAGGACTGGAACTGGGGCCCCGGAGAGGACATGAAGGGAGCAAGGTGCAGTAAAGGGGGGAAGAAGTATCCTGGGATGTCTCCTGAGGGCACCTGGCTCTGCCCACGTCCTGAGTGACAGAGAGGATGCCCTGTGCCTGCTGGTGAGGAGGCTGGTGCTGTCACAGTGAGGCACAGAGGGGGAGGCTGCTGGGGCTCCCACCCGTGTGGGTGCTTGGTGCTCCTTGCCTTCATTTGCCAAATGTACATAGTAACTGGTCAGAGCCGCGCATGCAGCACCACTGCCTAATAAAGCGATGGATGCACGGTCACCTGCTCTGCAGGGACTCTGTACCCTCAACCCAAAAGCTGGGTGGGGAGCTGGCATGACAAAACTCTGCTAAACAGCAGGGAGGGGATTTTACTAAGCAAAATTGCTTCATTTCTCATTCTCATGTACAGAGAACTGAGTAGTTCAGCACAGTCATCAGTGACACGGGACAAAAGACAGCTTTCGTGTCCTGAGTGTGTCTTTGAGACCCTTTGTGGGCGGCAGTAAGCTGGGTTTGCCTGTTATGCCGGGCTGAGGGGGATGCTCTTGAGGCTCCTTGGCTTGTTTTTCTTTACCTCTTGTAAACCTTAGGCAAAATCCCTGAATTTCCCAGGTTTGTCCTCTTCCCTGGATGTGTAGTGGCTCTAGCCCTGTTTGTCTTCCAGACACCCTGTCTCTGGGGCAGGTTGTTTCTCTTCTTCCTATGTCTGAAGTTACATGCTCCCAGGACAAAGCTGATCCTGTTGCTTTGCTGGGAGGGTGGAGATGGTCCGTGGGACCATGAGGACTTTGTACAGGCTCTGACATTTTCTACACTCAATCCATAGCTGAGGAATTGCTGCTTCAATGGCCTATCGTGGCTTTGAGCTTCTGTGGGGGCACAGGCTGTGTGCTGCATGAGGCCTGCAGAAGCCATGGTACTTTGTTCCCCGATGTTCAGCCTCCACCACTTCTTAAAAGGCTGTGGTTTGAGTTTGTCTCGGGCACTCAGTGTCTCCTTACAGCAGTGCTCAGCTGCTGGCAGCCCTGGCTGCCTCTCCCCAGCCCAACGAGGCACCTTGTCCAGTGGGGATGGAGCGACTCTGGCTGGAGGGTTTTTCTCCTGGAACTGCTTCTGTGAGTACCAGAGCATGCAAAAAGGGTTGGAGATGCTGGAATGCATCTGCAGAGATGCTCTTAGGTGCCCTAGCTGCATTGAAAATGCTTTAACAGGCTCTTGCTTTGTATTGCTACTGCCTTCCTAGTGACTGGCAAGTAAAGCAGAGGCTACTTGAATCCATGCAACCAGGGAAGAAAAGCACAGGAGAGCTTCACCATGTATTCTGAGTTGTTTTTCTCCCTTGAGAAACGGTGGCAAAGAACAAAGTGGCTGGCAGCTGCCTGCACCAGCGAGCTTGTGTCCTGTCAGTGAAATCCCACCTATGCAGCCTGGCTGCATATTAGGTGTCCCTGCCAAACAGAGAGCAGCTGGGTCAGGCTTAAAAATCGGGACAAGGTGTGACTAGGCTGGTGTTCGATGGACACTCACAGGCATGTAGCTTCTGGCCCTCCCCTCCTCTCATTTGCCCTGGGGATTTTTGGCTCTTGCTTCAAAAGCCTGATTGTGGTGGAGGATTTTGCCTGCGTTGTTTGGCCTGATGGCCTGCAGGAAGATGCTCAGGATGGAGCGATGCTCAGCTTCCCCAAGCCAGCCTGGTCAGGGTTTGGACCTGAGCTTCTCAAATCGAGCAGATCCATGCAGGTCCTGCACATCTGGGGTCTCGTTTAGGGATTCCCACAGAAAGTATATTGCTCTGAGCATGGCTCTGGCTCTGGAATACTGTTGCATCCTCTCTTTGTGATCCTCAGGCGCTTCTCAGAAAATGTAGATGGATTGAATCTTCCAACGGGACTGTATAACCAAGATGTTATAATTGCAATATAATCAAAAGAGTAAGGCAAAGCAAACAGGGATCACAAAAGAGAATAAGTAGAAGAGCTTACCCTTGGGTTGAGCTCACTAGAAGATATCAAAGAGGAGGATCTCCAGAAGAGATCCTTCCCCTCTGGTAGCCAGCTCTTAAATAGGTCCAGGAGGGGTGGAGCCTGGCTCCACCCCTTCCGGTAGCACAGGTGAATTGCCTTCACCTGTGCTCCTCTGGCTGACTCATGGCTCACCTCAGGTGATCAATCAGAGGTTCAGGCCGTGACTCAGCAGTTGCCATACAGGGACTTAGCCCTGTTTTTGCTCTCCTGTGAGTGAAATGAGTTTTGTTGGGAAATAATAGAAGGGCAGATGTGTAACAGGGATAGTGTAGTGACAGGGGATCCCCATTCATGACCCGAGCAGCCTGATGTGGCTTTGAGATTAACCCCACTGAGGGCGTGAAGGTGGTCAAGAGACCTTTCTTTGTAGCAGTTCCCAACCCACTTGTTGTCCCAGCAATCCCCCACACCCTGCAGCTGCCTCTGTTCTCCATCCTTCCTCCCTGTTAGTGAAACAGCTCTGCCATTCATTGCCTGATCTCTAGTTCCTTGCTAAGCCCTCCATAATTTCCAAACTGCTGTAGCATGCTGTAGGCCGTGATAATGAAGGAAAGAAGTTTGTTTCGTAATTGGATTAGTGCTGCTGGGAGCGTGATCTTGCACAGAGGTCAGGTTGGAGCTGCACAGCCCTGGAGCCCCACACTGCTCTGCCTGGTTGTGGGCCAGCTTGGGTCTGTGCTTGCTCCTGCAAAGGCCTTTGCTGGCCAAAAGACACAGCATTGCAGGAGGAAGGCATCCCAGAGCTGTGAAGGGTTGATTCAGGGCTGAATTTGAACCTGCCTTCCTTGGAAATGGGAATGTTTGCTGAAACTCTGTTAGCATCCGCAGTATCCCTTGCCTGCTAGAAATGAAGCGGTTTGGTTAGGGTCAGGCTTGATGTGAGCTTCATCACCTTTCCCAGCACGAGCCCTCAGGGCTCCTGAACACCAATAGCTGATCCTTGTGGGTTTGAGTAAAACCCATGTAGGCAGTTGTCCATCATCAATGCCCCCCCTCCCTGCCTCTCTGGCCTGCAGAAGTGCTGTTAAACCTAAGCCTGGTGATTAGATTAAACCCCAGCCCTATCAGTGATGCCTGAGTTGCTTGGATGTTTCTGAGAACAGTGCCGTGTCCTGTCTCCAGCCACGGCAATCTCCAGTGCTGCAGGAGAAGGATCAAACAAAACCTCAGCTGACAAAGTTTATAGCAGAGTGGAGAAATTTGTTCCCGACCCCTGCAGGCTACCAGCAAAACGTGCAGCGTAGCACGTGTTGTGCACACATGGCACACACATGGTGCGGCTGAATGCCTCCTTTCAAATCTCGTGGAGACCAGCATGTTTGACGCAAGGGGCAGCTTCAGCTCCTGACTCAGAGACCACCCTTGCTCAGTTCCTTTGGTGTACTTCCCCAGCATCATCTCAAAGCAGTTTCTTGTTCCTGCTGCCCTCTTTGGAAACTGTCCCAAAACATCTGTGCTCATATGCTTCCACCTAATTTTCAGTCTACACTTGTGATGAGTTCTGTCCTTTACACAGTTTTGGGGTAGGCTGTCTTTAAAGCAGCATGCTTGGGCAGATCTTGTGGGTGAGATCTTCCCAGTGCCTTGCTACTGGTGCAGCTCTGTCCTTCTTGAAAACTTAGCCTCACTCTCATCCCTGAACTGTTTGCTGTTGGTATTCATGGGGTCACTCCAATACTAGGGGTGGAGACAAAATCCTAGAAATACCTCTTCACTCAGAGACACCCTTGTTAATACAAACCATCATTTACTTGATTAGCTGGTTCCTCCACTGTAACCATACCCACCACTCCCGTCATTGGAAACTGGTTCCTGTTTCTCCAACCAGCCTAAATGTGCTGCATAATCTTGTCTAAGAAGTTACTTATGAGAGAAGATCATTAAATTAAACTGACAGAATGTATCTGTGATAAATCGTTTCCATTTGCCTTCCTATCTTGAAGCTGGATTTCCTTCAGAACCTGCTCAGAGCCTCAGAAGTCTGTATGTTTGAATCTCTTTCCTTTTCTGGGGGGCGTCAGCTGAATTTGCTTGCTGTTTAAGCTCTTTTCATGTTACCCTAAATCTGGTCCTTTTTTCACAGTGATATGACCGTGCTCCTTTCCTCTTTTATCTCATGCAGTATCTCCCCGTTGACCCTCATCTCATGCATTGGCAGCGTGTCCTCACGTGGTGCCTGGGGCACTGTCCCTCACGCCCTGCTCAGCCTGGTGATCCGTGCAGCTACGAGCCTTTCATTTCCAGGATAAAAGTATGCATGCTGAATTTTTCTCCATTAAATGGCAGTGCACAGCAAGCCCTGCTTTGTGCCGGCGTGGGACCAGCAGCTCTCTGCACATGCACGTCCTCTCTCGCTGTTTGTGTTCGGGGTAGGCTTGCTGTGCAGATACAGTGCACTGTGATTTACTGCCCATATGCAGCATTACAGCCTCTCTGCGCATGCACAGCATGTCATGATTTACTGTAGGCATTAATGGTTACCTCTCGGCACATTCGCAGCTCGTCTGGTTTTATGCCCGTGCTCAGTGCTGTCTCTCTGGCGGTACACAGCCTGGCCCTATTTACACGCTAGGTTCTTTCACCTCTTTGCCCCACTTGCTGCTCACACTTGCCTCTGTCTCTCTCCGAGGAGCACAGTCTGCCCAACTGGCCACTTGCACACAAGGCAGTCTCCAATTTACCACACATGCAATGGATGGGTGCTCCGTGTGGTGTAGCGTTGCCTCTGTGTGCTCACGACATCCTGATCTATGGCATGCGTGTTAGTGGCAAGTCCTGGTTTCTCATGAAGTGTCGTGCAGCCCCTGCACAGGCGCAGTGCAGCGTTGCTATCTGCATGTGTGCAAGCGCTGTCGTTGTGTTCTGACATCTGAGCACCCCCTCCTTCCTTATTTATGGTACAGACTGCAGGCTCTGTGCTGCGTGGAATTCCCTTTACTTCCTACACATGCAGGCTGTCTGACCCTCCCCTGCCCATGGCCGTCTGTTCTGTCCCTTGTAACTGTGCCTCACAAGGGCTGAGATGCAGCCTTGCATCACCACCGTGGGCTGCCCTGGCTGATAGCCTGCTCTGCAAACTGTAGGCTGCGGGAGGTGTTGCAGTCTGGTCTCTGGAAGGCAGCAAGACCTCTTGTCCTGTGAAGGTCATTTAACCAGAGCTCCAGGTGCCATCTGGATTGCAGCATCTCTGGTGAAGCCTTTCCAAAGGATACTGATGGGCTGCCAATGACTAACCCCCACCCTTGGCTTGAGAGAGCAAAAGGGGAAAAGTGTCCTGTCAGAGCACACAGAAATGCTTCAGAGGGCAGAATGGACCGTGCACATGCTCAGCAATGTTGACTGCTGTCACTTGAAGACTTTGCAGAACGTACCCATCAGGCTCACACCAGGGAAAGTGAGGAAGGTGTGACTCCCAGCTATGGCATACAACTGCCTGTGAAGGAAGCATGGGAGAGTCAGAGTCTCCTATCACTTGCTCTGGGAAGGTTTGTAGTCTTGGTTGTGACACTGGAGGACAGCATGCGCAGAGAGCTGTCAGCTGGAGGGGAGCTGCTGGGTGGGTGAGGAGGGGAGGAGCTGTGTCTCCTGCAGTTTGTTGCAGGGAATGTGGCTTCTGGTTTTACTACAGAAAGCAGCACATCATACACCAGAGTAGACAAGAGACTAAGCACAGGGGTGTCCTCAGTGCAGTCCTCCAGAGGGCCCCACTTAGTTGAAGGTCTCTCCAAAATCCATCTTTGGGCTTTGTGGCTGTGGCCCTGCCTGCCTGCAGACTGTATGGTAATTCTGGCAGTTCTCACAGGCAGTTGCTGCTCCTGCTATCAGTGTTGTGATAATTGTCCCCGCGGGGCTGGTCCTGCTCAGGGCCATTAGCAGCAAGATCCTTTCATCAGAATATGTCTCATTCCTGTCTTGCCAACTACAGTAAATGTCTGTCTGTTACCAAGGCATGTAACGGCACCAGGTTGGGTCACTCTGTAGTGGGGGCTGATTTTCATACGCTTGCAGGATTCTTAGCATGTGGAATGTCCTCCCCCCAGCTCTGCCATCCATTCAGAAGTGCAGCTGCTATGCCTGCGGTCTCTGCCATGTGGAGAGTGGAGCAGGTGATCCCTCCCTGATGGCAGAAGCGATGCTGATTTCCATTTAGATAGAAGAATTTCAATCTCAGCTTGATGTCTCCTTGCAACTCAAGACCCAAATTTCCAATTTGCTTTATTGTGTGAAGCCAGATGCTCTCTGCTGGCTTGGGAACTGAGACACGCTTAAGGTGCTGTGCCCTAGCACAAGAGGACAGTCAGCGACTGTTTATCCATTTTTAGCTCCCCAGGCAGCTTGCACATGTGGCTGCATGGCTCCTGCCACACACTGACACCCGCTGCCCTGCCTAGGGCCCAAAGCACCTTCCCTACCTATCAGCCCCCTGATCTCACCTTTGCCCAGAGTCACAGAATCACAGAATCACAGAATCACCCGGGTTGGAAGGGACCCCAAGGATCATGTAGTTCCAACCCCCCTGCCTAGCAGGGCCACCAAACATACACATTCAGATCAGGTTGCCCAGGACCCCGTCCAACCTGGCCTTAAACACGTCCAAGGACGGGGCATCCACAACCTCCCTGGGCAGCCCGTTCCAGGGCCTAACCACTCTCCTAGTAAAGAACTTCCCCCTAACATCCAACCTAAATCTTCCCTCCTTCAACTTAAAACCATTTCCCCTAGTCCTGCTGTTATCAGCCCTTTTGAAGAGTTTACTCCCCTCCTGGGTGTAGGTTCCCTTCAGGTATTGATAGGCTGCAATGAGGTCACCCCGCAGCCTTCTCTTCTCCAGGCTGAACAAGCCCAACTCCCTCAGCCTGTCCTCATAGGGGAGGTGCTCCAGCCCCCTGATCATCTTAGTTGCCCTCCTCTGGACCCTTTCCAAAATCTCTATGTCTTTCTTGTACTGAGGGCTCCACACCTGGACACAGTACTCCAGATGGGGCCTCACAAGAGCCGAGTAGAGAGGGACAATCACCTCCCTGTCCCTGCTGACCACCCCTCTCCTGATGGAGCCCAGGATCCCATTTGCCTTTCGAGCTGCCAGAGCGCACTGCTGGCTCATGTTCAGTCTCTCGTCCATCAGGACCCCCAGGTCCTTCTCTGCCGAGCTGCTCTCAAGGACCACTCCTCCCAGCCTGTACAGGTGCCTGGGGTTCCTCCGGTCCAAATGCAAAACCTTGCACTTTGCCGTGTTGAACCTCATTAGGTTCACCCGAGCCCAGCCCTCCAGCCTGTCGAGGTCCCTCTGAATGGCATCCCTTCCTTCCACCGTATCAACCGCACCACTCAGCTTGGTGTCGTCAGCAAACTTGCTGAGGGTGCACTCAATTCCCTCATCGATGTCATTAATAAAGATGTTAAAGAGCACCAGTCCCAAGACAGACCCTTGGGGGACACCACTTGTTACCGGCCTCCACCTGGACATAGAGCCATTGACCACCACCCTCTGTCTGCGGCCTTTCAACCAATTGCTTATCCATCGGGTCGTCCACCCATCAAATCCACTTCCCTCCAATTTGGAGATGAGGATGTGGTGGGGGACCATGTCAAAGGCCTTGCTCAGGTCCAGGTAAATGACATCGGTCGCCTTCCCTTCGTCCACCAATGCCGTCACTCCATCATAGAAGGCCACAAGATTAGTTAGGCATGACCTTCCTTTGGTGAAGCCGTGCTGGCTGTCTCGGATCACATGCTCATTCTTTATGTGACCGAGCATGTTGTCCAGGAGGATCTGTTCCATGATCTTCCCAGGCACGGAGGTGAGACTCACCGGCCTGTAGTTCCCCGGGTCCTCCCTGCTCCCCTTCTTGTACATGGGAGTGACGTGACCCTTCCTCCAGTCATCCGGGACCTGACAGCCACGACTTCTCAAATATGATGGAGAGCGGCTCGGCAACCACCTCAGCCAGCTCCTTCAGGACCCTGGGATGCACGCCATCTGGCCCCATAGACTTGTATTCATTCAGTCTAAGGAGGCACTCTCGGACTTGCTCTGCCCTTACAGTGGGGAGGGATTTACCTCCTTGGTCCCCACATAGAGGTTTGGTGATGCAGGGTTCAGGGACGTGAAAAAGACTAGAATCCTGGCCACCAGTGAAGACCGAGGTGAAGAACTCATTCAGCACCTCAGCTTTCTCTTCATCTGTTGAAGCCAGTTCTCCTTTTAAATTTACCAAAGTAGGTACGCCCGTTTTGGCCTGTCTCTTCTGGCCAATGTACCTGTAGAAGGTTTTCTTATTGTTTTTCACGTCCCTTGCCAAGTTCAGTTCTGCCTGTGCCTTGGCTTCCCTGATTCCACGTCTGCAAGTCCGGACGGCATTCCTGTACTCTTCCCAGGTGACACAGCCTTGTTTCCAGAGCTTGTCAGGGTGGAGTGTCACAGCCTCATGGGGTACGACTGCAGGCACTGCATTGAAGTCTTGGGGCAGGTGCTCAGCAGCAGTGGAGGATGCCTTCAGGAAGGCTTTTGGTGACCAGTGGCTCATTGTCCGGGTGGAGATTGGTGACAAATGGTGTCCCTCAGCAGTCAGTCCTGGGACCGATGCTCTTTAGTATCTTCCTCAATGACACTGACAAGCAGGATCGAGTGCACCCTCATCAGTTTGTGGATAACACCAAGATGTGTGGTGTGGTGACAGGCCCAAGGGGTGGGATAACAACCAGAGAAACCCAGAAAGGCTGAACAGTGGGCACAAGAGAACCTCGTGGAGTTCAACAAAGCCAAGTGCAAGGTCTGCACCTGAGTCAAGGTAACCCCCATCACCAATACAAACTGGGGAATGAAAGGATTGAGAGTAGCCCTGCCAAAAAGGCTGCTGGACATGAGCCAGCACTGTGCCCTCACAGCCCAGAAAGCCAACATATCCTGGGCTGCATCAAAAGAAATGTGGCCAGCAGAGTGAGGGGGGGATCTGTCCCTCTGCTCTGCGCTGTGAGATCTCACCTGGAGTGCTGCATCCAGATGGGGAGACCTCAGCACAGGAGAAACGTGGAGCTGTTGGAGCGCATCCAGAGGAGGGCCACAAAAACGATTCCAGGGATGGAACACCTCCATATGAGGACAGGCTGAGAGCTGGGACTGCGCAGCCCAGACAGCAGAAAGCTCCAGGGAGTCCTGAGAGTGGCCTGTTGCTAAAGTGACTAAAGGGTAAAGGTAAGAAAAGGGTAAAGAAAAAGGCTAAAGGTAAGAAGGGAGGAGACAGACTGTTTATCAGGGTCTGTTGTGACAGGATGAGTGGAAGTGGTTTCAAAGTAGGAGTGGGCAGATTGAGGTTGGATATAAGAAGTTTTTGACACTAAGGGCAGCGGGGCAGTGGCACAGGGTGCCCAGAGAGGCGGTGGTGCCCCGTCCCTGCAGACACTCAGCGCCAGGCTGGGGCCGCTGAGCGTCTGATGTGCTGTGGGAGCCCCGGTGCACTGCAGGGAGTTGGACCAGATGACATTTAAAGGTCCCTTCCAACTCAAACGATCCTGTGATTCTACGGTTTTGTTAAAGGTGCTGCTCATGAGCAAGGCGGTACCTGCCCCCCAGGGAAGGCAAAGTCCAGGGGAAGACGGCATGCAAGCTCAGAGCCCGCTGCAAGGGAGACCAAAGGGAATTCCAGAGAAACCGTCCAGTTCTGCACGAACAGGGAACGAAGGAAACGGTTCGCAAACCGCCTGCGGGAGTCCACAGGTAACCGTGGGCTGAGGCGCGGCTGCCGCCTGCCGGCTGCGGGAGGGACGGGCAGGGCCGGGGCCAGGCGGTGAGGGGGCGAGGCTTCGCCGTGAGGGGCGGGGCCAGGCGGCGAGGGGCGGGGCCTCGGGATCCGGCGCGCGGGTCGGGCGGCGGCGCGGGGTGGCCATGTCGGGTGCGGCGCCGGGGAAGGCGGCGGTGTCGGCGGCGGTGTCGGCGTCGGCGTCCGCTCGGCCGCGGCGGAAGGTGCTGAGCGCGGAGGAAGCGGAGCTGTTCGAGCTGGCTCAGGCGGCGGGCAGCGGGCTGGACCCGGAGGTGTTCAAGTGAGCGGCGGCGCGGGGCCGGGGCGGGGCGGGGAGCGAACGAGCCTCCCGGCCCCGCGCTGATCCCGCTCCGCCCGCCCGCCCGCAGGGTGCTGCTGGACCTGCTGCGCATGAACGTGGCGCCGCTCGCGGTCTTCCAGGTGCTGAAGTCCATGTGCGCGGGGCAGCGGCTGCCGGCGGGCCCCGAGAGCGCCCCCCCCGCCGCGCCGCCCGCCGACAGCCGAGGTAGGGGCCGAGCGGCGGGCCCTCCCCTCTCCGCGTCTCCCCCGGAGCTCCCCGAGGACGCGCCCGCCTTCTCCTCCGCCCTGCGGCCTCCGCGCTTCGCCCGCCCGTCGCCCCGCTGCCTCTCGGCGCCGCCCGCCGCCCGCCCTGCCCCGGGGCCGCCCCTGGGCGCTCCGGCTGCCGCTCCGCAGGGCCGTGGGTTCGGGGCCGCGCGGCGGGGGCTGCGGCTGCCGGCCCGGGGGGCGGCCCCCAGGGAGGCGGCCCCGAGGGGGGCGCGGGGCGCCCGCTCCGTGTGAGACGGCGGTGCTGCGGCTCCTCGGGCTGCGCCCGGACCCGCCGTGCCGGAGCCCTCGCTTCCTTTGTGCTTAAAGGCGTGGCACGGAGGGGCGCGGGCCCGGCCGGCGGGTCGCGAGGCCGAGAAGCGGCGTGAGCGCCGGCAGCGGGTGCGCTTCGCTGCTCGGCGCTGCGGGGCGGGCTCGGGTGCTCGGCTGCGCAGACTGAGGAGGCCGAGCTGGATGCTGTCCTCGCGTCCCCTTCTCCATCGCTCTCGGTGTTTCTAAGCGAGGACTGCTGTGCGCGGCCTGCGCCCCGCGGATGGGCTCCTCCCTCCTGCTGGAGGAGATGCTCTCGGTTGCGGGCTGCTTGGTGAGAGGACGCTTACAGTAAAGAGCCTCGCGTGTAGCCTCACGTGACTTTAATATGCGCAGGGATAAAAGAAAACGACTTGAGCAGGGTGAGGGAGGTTCGGCACTCGGATGTTCTTCTCGCGCCGGGCTGCTGCTGCGAGCTGCTTCAGGATAGCGCTAGGCCAGCTCAGGTCTGCAGGCTGAACGGTCCCTTTTTGTGAACAGCATTACTTCCTCGAGAGGAAAAGCCAAAAACCCTATGGACAAACTTGGTCTGCCCTTATCACTTGCCTCCCATCAGCCTGAGGGGCTGAAATGCACTGAAGAGATGGCAAACTTCCAGGGATTAGTATCGGTCTTGGGGCCTTCAGTCAGTTCCCTCTCCATTGCTGCAGGAGCATCTCCTGTCCAGACACTGTCTGGCTCTGCCTGCATCTCTGTGTCTCTGCTACCGGCGTTCCAGGCTTGTGTTTTTCCTTAAAACCAACGCATTGGTATCCTTGAGTATGTTGTACTGAGCTGGTGAAGTGCAGGGGAAGCTCAGGGAAAGCTGGCACTGGCTCGGTGGCACTTGTGGGAAATACAGTGTTAAACTGGTCTTCTGTGTGTCTCGCTGCTGCTTTATTTCACATTTCTGCATTATTTCATGAGGCTGGAACATGCCTGCAGGGCTAGTTGATGCACTGTGCCACTGGATCACACACAGCTTACTAAGACAGGAGGATTGTGCCCTTCAAACCACTGTTTTAATGTTTTGTCCTGTATCTGCAGAGAAAGCTTTTCTGAAGCTGGCACTGAACTGGCGCTCAGTGCTCCTGGCAGAGGGATGCTGTGGTCGCCTGTCTCACCACAAATGCTGGTGGATGTTTGTGCTGCTTTGCTGGAAGGCTTGGTCTTTCCAGCTGCATCTGGTTTTTAGGTGTTTTTTTTGTTTTTTTTTTTTTTTTTTTTTTTTTTTTTTTTTTTTTTA